AACTCGCTGTATACTTCTGTAAACTAAATAACTAGGGTCTGATTGTGCATCGAGGACATAGGGCTCGATGTGACGGATTGTCATTGTTGGAAAAAGTTTATTCTTATGTATGAAATGACTAAGTACTTGTGATAAACAATTCAGAGCGTGATGCTACGTCACCGTGCGGGCGGGGGGAGGCGGGCTCACAGGCAGAGGAGCAGACTCTTCTCTGGATCAGCTCGTTTGAGTCGAGGTGACGTCACCTCTATACAAGAGATGGCTCTAATCTCACAAGCTTTGATTGTTGTGTGGTGTATCACACACATTAATATCACACATGTGCATAGGATTGAGTGTGAAACATGAAGAAAAGCGTGATATAGGACCTTTAAGTGCGGTCTTCCATTTGTTTTATAGGGAACGGACCGAGAGCGTGCATCCACTGCAAAAAAACCTATCAACTTCAAGCATTGCTGAGATAACAAGGGCTGGGCGATATGGCTGAAAACTATATCACAATATAAGTGATTCATATCGGTCGATATCAATAATGTTTGTTATTTTGTTTTTAAACCAAAATAAATACATTTGTCGTGTCGACTAACACACGTTAGCAGCCCTTGTTTACAGTCACGGGGGAATGAGAACTCAGGCTGGAGGCATATGTTCACAAGCACAGTGTTCCCTTGTTAGTCCTGGATTAATCCTGGTTTAGTAATCTTAGTAAGTAATCTTTATTTATATACCGCCTTTTCACTGCACATCGGAGTCTCAAAGCGGTTTACAATTGTTATTTTTTGGGAGTGCCAGTACAGGAGGCACATGCCAGACCTATTGTACATATTTTTAGTGGTAGGGGAAACCGGAGCACCCGGAGGAAACCTACGCAGACACAGGGAGAACATGCAAACTCCACTCAGAAAGGCCCTGGTCCAACCGGGATTTGAACCCAGGACCTTCTTGCTGAGAGGCGAGAGTGCTATCCACTCAGCACTGTGCCGCCCAGTCCTGGTTTGTCCTGGTCCTGGTTTGGCTCTTGTTTTGGCTGTCTTCGAGTGTCCAGTGTCCCTGTGACGGCTCCGTGTGGCTCTCTGATCGCCTCACGTGCTTCACGAGGAAACAGTTCATCTCTTGCTTTTGCCGCATGCATCGGGTCTCTGTACCCATTGCCTCTGCCGCGCCGCACATGCTATTCCTCCCACGGACCTGCATAACCATTGACACGGCATTGAAGCACAATCGATAGATCCATGGACGCTACGCATGGTGCGGTCACTGTTGCGGAGATTTTTAAAATATTTTTTCTAGACATTTAGTACCACTTTATTGCCATACTCTTGTTGACTCATTGTATTGAGACTAGGGCTGTCAAAATTATCGCGTTAACGCACGTTAATTAATTTGTTTCATTAATCGCATTAAAAAAATTAACGCATTTGACGCATGCCCATGCGTCCCATAATAACACTCAGAATGCCGCGGACACATGCGCGTGTGTAAGATGGGGACAGCGCAGGTAGGCCCTCTGGAAATTCAAGTTTTGAAAGAATATACGCGTGACCGCGGGGCACTTGTAGTTTCCTGTATGAACTCTGCATGATGAGCTGCGGGCGCGACAGTGCTTTGGACAGTTCCCACTTCCAGCGGCTGTGATCACGGTGAACGGCGCTGCGTAATGGGATCATATCCAAGTCCACGCACAGAACTATTACAGAACTATTTTCTAGTGTGCGTACGTGTCTTTGCGTAACCGATGCACACAATATGTACAGCGCTGAAGCTGGACTGCGGAGCCTCAGTCTCCTCCGTGTCTTCTCCCGAAGCGCACTCAATAAATTAAAGCTGAGGTACCTAATTTTCCTTTCGACCATCAGTTCATGTTAGTTGTGCCAAAATAGTAATGGTGTGAGCAAATCAAACAGATTAAACTGTAATTAACTGGATTAAAAAAATTTATCGTTTGACAGCCCTAATTGAGACCTATTTTGGCAAGTAAGTTTTGACATAGTGCAAGTACAAAATAAATGGTACTTGCTCGAAGAGCAAGTGGCTGACAAAGCTTAATGTCAAGGCCTACAGCACACAAACACATTCACACTCTGATTGCAAAGAACGCAATCCATGTTCGAGATTGTTGGCGTACTGTAGCCTAGTGTAAACGGGAAGAGAAACAGAAACTTACCATGGACCTCGAGGTAGTCACTGTCGTGCGTGGATCCAAGTTGCATGGACACATCCTTGTGTGAGCCTCAGCCCATTACATGTCACATTTTGTCCATATGTGCTTCATTTCTCAAGTAATAAAATATTTACTCCTTCTCCTAACATAGCTCTGGGACTCTGAATAGCCACTGCTGGTTTAAGGACAAGTGCATCCTTTTGCCAAGGAAATAAAAATCAACGTGCAAAAATAAGTACAAAATTGCCTCTTTACAATACTCTTCATCAGTACTAAAGGTTCTTTAGTGAAAGGAGGCCGAGAGTGGAACTTACTAAAAATATTTCACGTACACCTGCCTTCAGTAACTTACCGGTCGTGCTTGTATGCTTTGTCAGTAATGTCTTTAGAAATATTTTTTGAGTTAACTCTTTATGGCAATATTAACTTGTCTTAATCTCTTCACAAAAACAAAAATTATTTTTCATATTTGCGAATGGATATACTGGATTATATTTTGTTAATTGACTTATGTATTTATTTTGCTCTTTAATATCATGGCTATGACAAATGGCTGTCCAACAAACAAAACAACAAAAATACTTCACCAATCCCAGTGAAGAATTAACTCTCCGAATTATTATTATTTTTTCTCAATATTTTAGTCCGTAAAACTACATTCAAACATGAAGGACTTTTCTTGTTCCTCTCTGTCCTCTGTTTTTAGGCACACAACGGCTCTGTGTCTGCCAGTGCACGTTCATTTTAACATCTAACGAATATGTAGTCACTGCATGTGTACAAACATCATTCATTAGGCTAACAGTACCATGATAATGATAAATGTACTTAGTGTTGTTCGCCACTAAATGAGTTCATTTTGGGGTCATTACTTCACAAGCGCAAAATCATGGTTTTATCCCAACAATCAGATGGCAGCCTCTGTCATGCTGAAAACACATGGTGAGTAGATCACCAAATTACAGAAACGTTAACTTTATGAAGAAGTAAATAACTTTTTTCTCAAGGGAAATGAGATATGATCTGTCCACACCTAAATATTCATCTTTACTCTTTGTGCACCCCAGGCCTACTTAAAAAGTTCACATAGTGGCTAGATCACAGAAAATAAAATGTGGTTTGCCAAGTTTGCATGTAGCACTCATCTTATAATTAGATGCTGGTGTAGTTCCCACTTTTCTTAAAGCTCAGTTAATAATATTCAAATGTTTAAGTTTTGCATCATCTTTGCATGGGCTGTGACAGTGTCATAAACATCAACATTTGAATCAAGCGATCAATCCAAAATATTTTTTTGTAAAGCGTTTTTCCTACACAAGCGCCTCACAACCCATATCAGATCAAGCATAAATCTTTAAAGTGGTTCTCACCCCCGCTCCTCGGAACTTACGTCACTCACATTTCCTGTTCAAATCTTCCTCTAAATGGGCGTAGCCTGGAGGGGCGTGAACGAGACTGGGCCGTTTACATTGCTCTGGGCAGGGGGCTGCTGACGTCAGGTCTTGCTTCAGACGTCAGGTCTTGCTGCCGCGCCAGTGTTGGCGCCAGATTCAAAATTCAAATGTAGTAATACAGGTCGCCAGCAGATGGCGCCTCACAGACGGTTATAGGCAGAAAGTTTAACTTTCAACTAATTTGCACCAAAGTGACAAAATTATGACCAGGATATGTAGACAACACTATTGGACACTCATTTATACCGTTTATCAGCAAAAAAAAGTGGATTTGAGGGCGAGTTATCTTTTAACATTGAAATCTACTTAAACATTAAACAATACAATTAACAACCTACTGGTAATTAACAACAAACATTAGAGCATAATAAATATCAAAAACAGTATTTAAAAATATTAACATATAATCACCCTTGGTATTAAAATCATGTATAGCCACAGTTACATTTAAAAGAGTAGATAAAATCCTTTAATTGCATTGAGATATACAGATTCTCCAGATATTTAGATAATCCGGTTTTAGGGTTGATGAGGACTTGTTCTTCATTGTTTTTGAGAAAAAAAATGGAGCAAGAGACTTTACTCTGATCCAGAGTAGAGAAGATGTGCGGAACCGCAGACAGCTTGTGTTCTCATTAGGGGTGGGAACCTAAGGGTACCTCACGATACGATACGATACAAAGCTCACAATAACAATATTATCACGATAACGATATTATCACGATAACGATATTATCACGATAACGATATCACGATATGACGATTATCGATATATTGGTCAGAAATATACAATATGCCAATTTATGGCAAAAATAAAAGAAAAAAATACACTTTATTTCATGCTAAATGGAATGGAGATGCGTAGTGTAGCTATATATATTAAGTATTGATACCAATTAAAAAAAAAAATAAAACAAAATAATCGATATCAATACTTGGCAAATGCATATCGATAATCGAATCGCGGGAGAAAGTATCGCGATATATAACAAAATCGATATATCGTCAATTCTCATCGGATAAAGTCGAATTTTTGCAAGAAAGCTCTAGCATGCTAATACACAATTCAGGGTTTCACACTGAACCAGAGCAGAGAAAGCGGCCTGAACAAAGCAGACGCTGCATTAATCCTGTTTAAGGGTGGTTTAATACTGGACTATATTTGACTATTTATGATTTTGCGTGCATTTCTATTATCTGTATCAGCTACTATTAGCTGGTTTCCCATTGTGGGATAAAGCAATTATGTGTTCTACTTTCACAATGTCGGGCTTCAGAAAAATCAAAATACGAAATCTGTATGAAAAAATAGTATACCATTCGTTAGTTAGTCCTGCAGTTTTGGCCTAACTATTTGTTTTCTCTTTTCCTGGTATGTATCAAAGAGGTGTTGGTGGAGTACGACTACGAGGCTCTACACGAGGATGAGTTGACCCTGCGACCCGGTGACCTCATCAAAAATGTCCGCTGTATCGAGGAGGACGGCTGGATGGAGGGAGAGCTCAATGGCAGACGGGGGCTGTTTCCGGACAACTTTGTCAAGGTGAGTCACATAAAGCATATTACTGTACATTGGCTTTCTTCACTCAAATCCTTTTTGAAATGTACAATGGATTTGACGACCAATCACAGAATCAGGAGTTATGGCAAGACAATGAATAACTTATTGCTCATTCCCTTCTTGTCTAATTTCTGTCGCTTGACATTAGGTCATTAGGTAGAATTGATATGAATTGCCATGAGCAGTTCAGTTCCTTTTCCGTGGACAGCAGCTCACGCCTCCAGCGGCGGTGAATGTTGTACCCAGGAGTACAGCTGTAATAAACAGAGCGATATTATAGGAGCCCCAGGAAGTGTCCGTGTCTCTCATGTCTCCTCCTGACACACTGAAACAAAACTAAACTGCTAAATAAAAGTCGGGATACATACATTTTCCCTTGGGTGTGGCCAAAAGTCAAACAAATCGGACCTTAACAGGCTGTCTTATCGTATTTTGTTTTGTTTGCATACTTATGAAAGAGCCCTGTGTCATTATTTTTCTCACAGAACTGAGAGCGGATATTTTGAGGGGGATTTTCTTTGTAGGTTGATGGTCAGTGGTGAAAAATTAACCGATTCAATAATGCATTTAATTTGATAAGCTCTCTGGAACATTGAAGTTGTTTTAAAGTGAGAGTGCTCTCAGTCAGGGTCACAGCATTTTGTATCGATGAGTTATACCCAGTGGGGGCGGGTCCCGGCTCAAAAGTGGCCAAAATGCCGTGCGCTGACATGCTTGCAATACCACCCCAGGCCGATGGGTGTGGACCCGGTATAAGAATTAGCCAATGCTAACATATAGCATCTTCTTACCTCTCGAAAACACCTTTACAGGATGGTCCAAAAGTTGGCTCTTGGCCCAAAGCTCCGTTCCACATGTGTGTCAATGCTGAGGGGAGTGAATTTTTTTGGACCACTCTAGTTTACTCACTGTGAATTTTTGAAGTCACTCTTTTAAATGAATGGGGCTCGTGCCGGCTGATGCATGCGCAGATGCATTTTTTTCACATTTTCCAGTCCCCGAGGCCATTTTGAATCACTCCATGAAAGCCCAATTTTTGGCCCATCAGTTAGAACGGCGGAGATAGGCGTGACTACGTCCGTTAATATTTACAGTCTATGGTTTTACCGCAACGCTTTCTTGGGCCAAAGCGCATCAAATTTAATTCATGTATACCTTTTAGTGTTTATATTATTTAAAGTGTCAGTTCCTTGAAAAAGTTCCCATTTTACCTTGAAAGTGCTTGAATTTTACACTTCAAAGGCTGTACAAAACCTGATTTTAATACCTCTAAGAGAGAAGTTCTGAATAGTTCATCATCAAATAATTTAAGCACAAACCATGTTTGCTTTGACTTTTCTAAATTTTCACTGGACATTTTGTTTTGGTGTTTGACAAAAACAAATCTTAGATTTTTGATGATAGTTTTGCCAGAAGCTGCTGCTTTTAAAAAGAGAGAATGAGAAAGAAAGGCAGGGATTTTATTTAGCAGCACAGTAATCCAATGTGCTTAACAAGAACTTTGTGTTCTCAATAAAGTGTGTCCTGAAGCACAGCTAAGTTACTCTAAACTCTTCTTGGTGGACTTGACTTGCCAAGCCTGAGCTTAATATTCTCTTGTTTGTTCTGAGAGAGTATTTTGGTTTATTGTTATTATTTCCAGGGCTCGACACTAACGGTTGCCCGCTTGCCCAGGGAAACTAAAGATTTGGAACGGACAAGTGCGCTGTCTTAGTAAGTTGCCTGATCAGGCAAGTGATGTATTACTTTAACCCATTCCTGCATTTTTACCTCTTGAGGCAGGAGCGGACACGTCTGTTTATCTTTTTTCGACTTTGACCATCCCCAGCTTGTTGCAAGTCTGGGTCTCCACCGTGTCTCTTCCGTGTCTCCTACCAAAGCGCAACCCTAACTCACAAAATTAAAGCTCGGTAAATTTTCCCTTGCATTAGCAATGCATGTTGGTTGTGCACAAAAGTAAAATGTTGTGAACAAATCAAACAGAACACACTAGAACAGGCCATCTTGTTTTAAAATTTGTTATTTTTTTATTTTGCATACTTAGGAGCCCAGGTAGTTATAATTTGACTTTTTGGGTCTTTAACTTGTGTTAACTCATTGTACTGAGAAATATTTGAGCAAGTAACTTTTTACATTGGGCAAGTAAAATACAAATGACAAAGCTTAATGTCATGGCCTGATTTGTATAATATTTTTGGCACTGCAGGATTTCAGTATAGCTTATACAGTATGTGTCAATCTACATATCTTAATTTTTTGAAGTAAAGTAAATCCCACGTTCAGTGGACTGTGTTGTTTTAACCAAAGATCCCTCAGCCGAGCCCCCACAACGGCAGCGCTGCCTCTGTTCCAGGTCTGAGCACACACCTGTACATGTTGACATACAAGTTGACACTCAAAAGCTCTGAAGCGGACACACTACACGTGTGGACAAATGCATGAATGTGCTGCTTGTCAGGAGAACGTTTCTGCAGTAGTTACCAGTAGTATAGTAGTAGGTATAGTTATCTCACATCCTCAGTCCGCACGGATTGCAACAACAACTCTAATTCATTATTTTACAGAAATATATAGATTATTTGGTTGATTTTAAATACAGGCAGCTTCAGGCTTCTGTTTTACACATTATCGTTATTTCTATATTTTTGCTTGGTCTTTGAACCTAATGGTTGTGGATTCGATCCCACCATGACCCATCTGCTGATGTCTGCTATCGTTGTGTCCCTGGGCAAGACTCTTAACCCCACTTTGGCTGAAGTTCCGCTGAAATATCAAGACCGTTGAAGGAGCAGTCATCTACCTAGGGCCCCACCATCTGCAGGAGGATGAAAATGAATGAATGAATAAATAAAAATGAAATGATGAGTAATTATACATAAGATGATTAATACTAGTCTAGTCTACTCTAGTCTCTTTTGTTGCCCATTTGTTATTGTTTTTCTGATTAACTACTTCTATGTGATTAAATTAATGTTTAGTACTATTTCTTGCATAAAAAGCTTACTTGAGTAATCTAGGTTGAGCACAACGTCTTTGACCAATTATTCCAAACGACCAAAGGTCGGTCCTTGTGTTGAGTGTGTTTTTACTCCTGATCTACGAGATCCAGTCAATGGAGTCCCGTAAGTTGTAGAGACCTGTGATCTTATCTTTGTGTTTCCTCGTCAGTCAAATGTCTAATATGTGTAAAGCTTTTGCTATTTGAGAAAATAAATGTATGCTTATTTTGAATTAATATGTAAATGTTATTTTATTTTTTATTTTTTTGTATGGCATTGGAAATGTCTGTATTGAGTTCAAATTTGCTCAGTGCTTTGTCGTGATAAATATGAGTTTGCTCCAGTGCTTGTTGGTTGATATCTCGGCCCTGTGTTTACCTCCCGTCTTTTGCACCGTCGTGGCTCTAATCCTGCGGTGAGATGGGTAATCTGCTGAGCTCTTCATTCTCTGAGGGGAGGTGTAATCTTGTAAGGAACTGCGGCCCATTGAACTTTGCTCCCGGTAGAAGAGCGCTGCCTACGCTTCGTAATGAAACATGTCCACCAGGAATTTAACTTTTAAAAGCTCCATCTCGGTTTGTAAATCTTATCCACAATGCTTATTTATTCCATTTAACTTCTCACATTTCATGGAATTTGAGTCAGGATAATCTGAATCTGATATTTAAGAGATTCACACATAAAACTTGAAAAAAGTTTTATGTCTGAAAGCTTCAAGGCGCATCATGTTTGGAATTTCCTGACCGCAAGGATCCAAGTTAGATTTTTTAAAATTTTCATTGTGGATGTGAAACAGGTTAACTGAAGCCTCCCAGAAATGGTTTTGGCTTCTTCTAATATCTTCCATATCTTCTCTGCGTATTTATTCATAAAAATCACTTTAGTCTGTAAAGTCTTTAAAATGTCACAAATCATGAGCCAACTGTATTTATATGAGATCATATACTGCATCTGTTATCATTCAGCACAAAATATATAAGAGAGCTTTTGACATCAGATTCTTCTTTAGATGATTCAGCAAATTCTAAGATCTACTGAGTTCCTTATCAATTAAGTATTCAAATATATATGAGTCAAATGTGTTATATGATCTAAATTTAAGCTTCTAATTGTATCAAAAACGATCAACTACGATCAACGAACAATTACTTTATCAGAGGTGAATATAGTACACAGGAGGAACCAGTTGTTAAAGTTGTCAAAATGTCCATTATATCCATGGAAATACCAGTAGTGAAACTGGAATTGCAGTTATTGTTAAGGAATGGTGACCTTTGTTTCCTGGGAAGCAATAGTTGTATCACTTAGAGCAGATTTAAACATATCAATTTATGATATTTGATTTGTTTTGTATTCTATGATTTGCGGTGCGTGTAGAGCTGTAGAGATGCATGCTGGGTTTGGTCAGGGCACAGAGCTGTGGTATCTGGTGTTTGGTGAAAGAGTGTACTCTGTAAATGACTGTGGTTGTTGTTGCTACATTTAGCACCAGTGGGCCATACCACATTTCAGGCGATTGCTGCAAAACTGAAATATATTTAAAGAAGTGTCATGTTTACCGTAACTTCTCATGTGTATGTGTGGTTAGTTAAAGAGGAACATCTACTTCAAGATTTAGCTTTCATTTCTTGAGACTTAATTATGTATGTTGTTCATTCTATAGTAATAAAGAAAACATCTTGATTTAACAAAACAAAACTGTCTTTGTTTTATGGACTTTGTTTAATCAGGAGCATGATTTCCGCTGCAGTGTCTTTTAACTTAAAGTAATTCAATTCGGGGCGACAGTAGCTCAGTTGGTAGAGCATTGGCCTTTGAGCCTGAAGGTCGTGGGTTCGAGCCCACCTCAAGACCTACTTCACGACTCCCACTAATGACTGCTGTCGTTGTGTCCTTGGGCAAGACACTTAACCCCACTTTGCCTGAAGCCCCCACTGAAAGATCTCAGCTCCTGTGGACTCACCACCTGCAAAAGGATCAGTGAGGGGCTGGTGCTCTGTGACTGGGTGCAGCTCTGACTGCCACCCCCCCGACCCAGAAATGGATTAAGGGGAAGAAAATGGATGGATGGATGGATGGGTAATTCAATTCGTTGGAGAACTGATAATTACAAGTTCAAAACATAATAATGCCAAATTCCACAATCACGATTTGATTACATTTGTTTACTTATTTGATTACATGTTTACTGGGCGTAGTAATTATTGTGAATGGAAAACGTACAAATGAACTAATATTCAGATTATATAGATCAGGGGGATATCAGGTGGAGAGCCCCAACGCTGCAACTGAAAAGTCGTGTTTAAGTAATGATTTAACTAATTTTATTTGAAAATATGTTATCTTTTACAATCTGATGATTGGCTGAGTGAGGGGCGGGCTGGTTCTTTTTCACTGAAAATTGTGAATTGTCTTGTATCTTCACTGAAAATTACTAAACTGCTTTTCAATATCGGCACTGGGACTCTCAACCCATTTAGCCACAAGAAAATGGCTCAAGGAAGAATGTAAAGCGCTTATTATACTTTCTTGTAATAATTCAAGCTTAATGTTTTTTAATCCATTAATGTTACAACTTAAACACCCACTAATGGATTAAGCCGTAATAATTAATGACAACAAACTATCCAAATGAAACAGCCGTTTTTGTATTTCCTGTTTTCAGTATATGTTTACAGTATAACTCTTACAGCCTATACGTTTGCCTTACTAGACTTGACTTTGTGTGTCTTTTTTTTTCAGGAAGTAAAAAAGGATTCCAAAGAAACCAAGGAGACAAAAAATGAGCCCAAAAATGAGCCCAAAAACGAGCCCAAAGAGGACCCCCCAGCTCAGCTCCGAGACAAGTCGGCCAACGTGAAGAAAATTATCAATCGGATGAGCGGTATCGGCATTCCTCTGGCAGGTTTCCCGCCGCATCCCCCTGGCGCTCCTAAGAGTATGCTCCAAACTATTTTATTTTCAACCTACACTCTTGCCTCACCAGTCTAAAGCAATGGCTCATTTTAAACAGCCAGGGGGAAGGGTAGATCTAAATTGTCTCTCCTCTCTGCTGCATACTTTCTCCGTGTCCAGTCTTGCTCTGTGGTCGTAGGCAGAACAGAGGCAGCATTGATTAAATACAGCATGTATAAAAGACTAATTCTACTTAGGTCACAGTTAAGAATCCTCTTCAGAAGAATCTGCAATAAACCGTACTACTTTAATTGTTTACCTTACTTCTTCAGACTCTTTCATAGGAGGTAATGGGACTATCCAGAGCCTCGTCTTATTCTTTGAACTGGTACATTGCTTGATAGGGCTTGATTATTAAGTCCCATTGTCCCATTATTGTCTATTTACTAGTATATATTGTGGCCACCCCGAATAACTAGAATACAATATACAGAAAATAGATTAGATTTTATACTTGGGATTTTGAAATTAAAACATTAAAACATACTATTGTTACAGCCACCCCCCTTAAACCTCAATATATCAAACCTCAGAATTTACAAATTGTAGTTGTCTATGGGAAACCAAATCTACAGTCATTAAGGATGTGCAAGCCCTAAAAGAAACCCAGCTGTATTAGTCTGTCAATGCAAGTAATATGTAGAAAAATGTATGCAATACTGAATTAGTTTTTTTGAAAAGGCATAATTGTTAAATTGAATCAAAGCTCACCATGTTATATGCAGTTTAAATTCCTGTTTTAGGCACGATTTTAGAAGTTTTCCACATAATCATCTGGATATTGTTTCCATGTTATATATTTTTTGGGACATATCCCCTACCCCAAGTAATCATTGGGATTTACTATTGGTGCAGCTGTGTTGTTCAAAGGGCCAGGCCTGAGGATCACCTGAATTAAAAGCACCAGATGGAGGCTGGTCTTCACTACCTGGACACGCCCTACTCTTCTACATGCCAAGCCCACTTGATCTGTAGCCAGGAGAGCAGTTGAAAGCCCGACACACACTGGGATTGTGCCTCGAAGGTCCATGACTTCTGTCTTCATGTTGACAGAGCCCAAGAGACGACTTTGCAAGGTGCTGTTCGACTACCAGCCGCAGAATGAAGATGAACTGGAGCTGAAGGTGGGGGACCTGATCGACGTCACAGAGGAGGTAACACTGTTTACTTTGCAACAGGTTTTATCGTGGCTATCCCATTTGCTTCTGGATACATATCAAATAAAAATGTCCATGTTCTGAGATCTATGTATTTCTCTCAGTCCATATGCGGAAGGCAGATGTGATTAATGCATTGTTTGACCAGTCTAAATGTTTAAGCTGACCAAAACGATGTTGTTCTGTTTTATTGATGCTTTTCAATTGCAGTCTGATCAGTATGATAATCCTGCTCATAATGTCCTAACAATGCCATAGAAAAATCATACGTCTATTACCAATCTTGTTTTGAGGTGGAAGAGGGCTGGTGGAGTGGCACATTCAATGGGAAGTCTGGACTCTTCCCATCAAACTTTGTCAAAGAGCTGGATTCCACCGCAGAAGATGGCGAGTCCAGTGAAGCCACACCAGAGGAGGGGGTTATGAAAGACGGTACACATCCTGTATATACGTTAACATGCCATTTACACTACACTTAATGTTGTTCTTTCATATTGTGCAATAAGATCTGGTAGAGTTGAGGCGTGATCTTTCTCAACATGTCTGAGCATGATATAAAGTTTGAAGCCAGCCTCATGTTTATACTTTTGTTTTGACCAAAGCCTGCCATGTTCTCCATTGAGACATTTGCTGTTGGCCAAAACAAGTGTTACAGAATACCTTTTGCAGAATTCTTCTGTTGAAGCTTGAAATAGCATTTCACAGTTTGGCACTAGTAATGGTGTGTTAGCCGTTTATACCCACATCTTGAGCCAACAAAACACCATTTACTGTTGTTTGTGTGTCCATAAATACATCTTGGAAGGAAACTGTGTTAAAGGTATTTTTGTCATTGCTGTTTTATTTATTTATTTATCCATAGATACTTCTGCCACGGAAAATGCCGGCACCCCTACCTCACCTCAAGGAAGCTTAGGGAATGGAGTGGTCCGGGCGCCCAGTAAGGGATTTGGCTTCGGAGACATCTTTGCAGTACCCCAAATGAAATTAAAAGTGAGTTTAAAATGAGTGGACATGCTTTTATTGCCCTCCATCTTTGTTATCTGTGTGAGAACGATACATTAATTTAAAAGTGTAACAGAAGGAACAAATTTGATTTATTAGAAAAGTTATGTAATGTGCACTGTTAATTGCCCGATTTAATCAACAGAATTGTTTGACGTTACACAATTCAAATCAGTCTAAAGCCTAGCGTACATCGGACTGGCAACTGATTATATCCGTCGCCTCTGAGTTGCTGCCCCGCACACATCGACAATCTGGCGAAAACGGGCAACTCTGAGTCGCAGGCCAGTCTCTTGAATAACAGCGCGTACATCGACAGCAACTGGCCTCAACTACAGTGTGTTTTCTGACAACAAACTGTTGCGGGCTCGCAATACACGCAATACACACACGTTGTTGGAGCGGCGCATGGAGCGCGCACATCGGGGCAACTGAGGACAACTAGTTGCCGAAAAGTAGAACACGGGCAACTGACTGGAACTGGAGACCGACTGATCATCTCCAGTTGTAAGAGCGCGCACATCGACCGATTTCGGCAACTGATCATCTCCCACCATCTCCTCTCAGTTGCCAAAAGCCGCCTTGCAACTAGTTGTCCCCAGTTTCTCTGTCGATGTACGCTAGGCTTAAGAGCCGGACTGTATTGTTGGCATCGGACTTCTTTATTCATTGATTAATAAAATATTTAGTTAAAATATGTAAAACTATATATAATCTTTACACTGCTACAAAACTAATTTTGTTAACAAGATCAATGTTGGCAGTTTTTTCCCCATCTTTTAAAGTATTTGTTAAAAGTGTTGCACACTGCACTAGAAGTTCTGTGACATGTGAAAGTATTCTGTTGTCTTTCTTCCTCTACAGCCCTCTCACTTTCCACCCCTAACATTACTCCTCTACTCAACAGTGTCATCTCCTTCATTTTATTTTGAGATGCGCTTTACTAAAATAGAAAAATTCGGAAAATATTTCCATCACAATTGACACTAGGGATGTAAATCGGCGACCGGTTAACCGGTGGTTGACCGTCACAGCGTTAACCGGTCAAAGCTGTCGGTTAAAAAAGAGAAAACGGGGAGAGGGGAGGTCTCTTAATAACGCTATTTTAAGCCCTATTTGCACGGTGTGACGAGCGGGTCCCTATCTAGCTGTGTGCGCCCATGTATTATAAACTCCGGGACGACTCTCACGCCGCACGAGCCACATATGCACACACGCACGCGCGCGCACGCACACACACACACACACACACTTTCCCCCTCTCCATACGTAACATCCACACGCATCATCTCTCCCCTCTGTTACCGTCAAAGTTGCACACTGGCGCGGGTCAGAACTACATTGGAGCTTACATTTACACACACACACACACACACATACACACACACATACACACATACATACACACACACATACCGGTCTGTCGCGCTCCTCTGTGTCACGGAGCCCAAAGGATTCGCGCAAATACGCGGCTCCAGTCAAACCACATGGAACATGTTTGTGTTTATGGTCCTCGGGATCAGCTCCACACACATCACTTGTATTTAAACTTTTGTGAAGACCTGTGAGACGCGGCTCGTCACTCGCTGCTCTGACCATGTGAACGAGCCGTCGTTTGCTGCTAGAAAGTTTTCCGCAACACAGCAGAATGGGAAGATTAAAAAAGCAGTTCTCTGTGCGCAAAGGTGCCGGAGCTGTTGCGGGTTTGGGCGCCGCTGTCTCGGCTCTGATCCAGTAGAACGCAGAGCTGCACTTATGAAAAGTACGCGGCTCAAAATGGCTGTTATTTCAAAGAACGTGGACTATTTTAAACGACGCGGTTAACCGGTTTCAACCGGTTAATGAGGCTCGGTGGTCGGTCATGAAAATTCATAGTTTTTTACATCCCTAATTGACACATGTCTTATATGATTATCTGCAGAATACTTGCAGTACGTGTGAGAATGTGCTGCACTTGTATTTGTCAGTACACATAACCTTTTGCTTTGGTTGCCAAAGTGTATTTTCATGTCTCCCTTCAATACAAATCGTACACCTGTCATCTAAAGCCAATAATCATTCCAAATCATCTACATTATTTTAATTTGCTTAATTTTAGCATGTCCCAGTACCATCAGAAAAGCCTGCTCATCCCAACCATCCCACCCCCACTCCCACAGACGCACCCAAGGGAGATGCAGAAAGCAGGGGGTCCTTGAAACGAAACGGTGAGGACTGGACTACTGATTTTTTTCTACTTTTTTGCCATTTCTGATGATCTGTTTGTTTTGACTTTAGCAAAAGAATACTGCAAAGTAACATTTGCATTTGAGGCCTCAAATGAAGACGAGCTGATGCTAAAGGAGGGTGACATCATTCACATTCTTAGTAAGGTCAGTGCCTCGTGCTTCGTCACTCTTACAGTTGCACAAAACATCTATTTTTTAAAGAGAAATCCTGGAGGGGTGTAAAGAAAGGAGGATAAGAAAGTTAAGAACAGAAGTCATCAGCCAAAACTGATTATACAATCATGGTGGTGCTACAGACTAAGTCATTCTTTGATCTCCAGGAAAATCTGGACAAACCTGCCTGGGTGGTTCTTTGGCTTTCTAATTCAGTGCCCTTAGTGGAACTTTACTTTATATTCAGATTCAGATTCATTTATTTGCCATTTGCAGTAAAACCACATTGGAAAAACTGTGCAAGACTACCCCAGTGTTTATATGCTAACAATTTTCATCAGATGACCTACATCAAAGGTTGCTTGGACTTTTTTTTAGAAAATAAAAGCAGTTGTAATGGTGTATTCATAATGGCGTCACATCTACACTGCTAATGTATACTTAAAAACATGTTTTACTGCATTCACTGTATGACTAACCTAGTCCCAAAACGGGGAAAAACAATCAGCTCCAATGCTGTTTTGTTTGTGAGGTTCTACTCCTTCTATGCGGCCACAGTTAAATAAACAAACCTTCTGACAGGACGTAGAGAGAGCAGAACCAGCCGAACGAGAGCAGAGGCCGCGTTGCCTCGGGCCACGATAAAAGAGGATTTCTGTCATCTGAGCTCACTGACACATGATGTGTCCGGTTCCCTGCTCAGAGTGATTTAGGTGGCTAGCTCCATCTAGTGGCGAATGTAGCAAGTACTACTATATCCTGTGTGGGAGTTCTCCATTGTATGTTTGTTGTGTATGTGGTAGAGTGTAACGATATTGCTGTTTGCTGTGTTAAGGACACAGGGGAGCACGGCTGGTGGAGAGGCGAGGTTGGAGGGAGAGAAGGAGTGTTCCCAGACAACTTCGTGACCATGATTAATGAGACTGACAAAAATGTAAGTATAAGAGCTGTACTTTCACTTTTAAGAGCCCCTTTTAAATAATGAGTTCAGTGCATCCTCTTAAATATTAGGTAATGTTAAGTAATGTGTTGTTTTTGTTGATACTTGCCACACCCATATTGTCCATGCAATGTCATAAATGCCACTTTGATAAATAACATGGGGGGGTATGGGTGATGTAAGGATGAGCCACATTCTGTCTGATGTATTGTACAGGCCTTCCTCTGATTATAATCACTATACTACTATAATAAGGCCCCTTGACAATCAGCTTGGTGAAACTTGTTGGATCTCTAATGGGCACTACAATGATTAGCAGGATGCGGCTGCTCTCACACATAAGGGGAAATATAATGTAAAGTCACTTTGATGTGATTTTCTTTTTCAAAAGGATGTATTATGTATTCATTCAGACATGTATGAGTAAACATTGTTTTTCATTTGTCCGCTCTCTCAAATCGAGATCCCAGGTCATGCATAAATTAATTATAAGATATTACATATATAAATACACTTAGCTGCTTGTTGTGGTGAAAGGCCACGATGAAGATGCAGGTTCACTGATAGAATATACAGATCCAATTTTTTGAAAACTAGGATGCTTTTGTTTAGTCTGTTATGCGTTTGTTCTGCTGTCAGGCTGGAGCGTCGAGGGGATCATGTAAGACTTCTCTGAGGGCGAACCATGAAGAGGTGAGTGACTGTAGCACAGTAGATACATAAAAGTGACATAAAAACATATTTTGCGCTTGACCAGCTGCTGCTGTACTTTGTGAAAAAAATATTGAAGGACATTACACTTTTGTTCAAAGATAAATTATTGACCTGGATTGTTTCGTGCTCAAAATATGCACAATGGTCTGTTCTTCTTTCCTTAAACAGTCTAAACCTGTGCGGGGAAACGTTGTGCACGTAATTGAGTGATTGAATATTAAAAGAATCCCCTTCTTCTATTCCCTTGTCACATTCACTATTTTTTTTTTTTTAAAGTGGTAAATGTGAAACACCCAATAATATCAAATGTTCTTTGATACATAGGTGATGGTTGAATGATGACTGATGGAAATTGGCAACGTAGCCACAATCTGATGTATTTACAGTTGTTCATTAACTCATTCACTGCCAGCCATTTAAAAAGCAGCATCCCTCATACTGCCAGAGATTTTGGACATTTTTAGTGTTTTTCCGAACCGCATAAAAATGTGAGCCCTTGGTTGACACAAGTATGAAACATACCAAATGAAAGCTCTATCCCTTGGCTTTCATAAAAAAAAAAGTACGTTTCTAACCCTTTTAGTTTTTTAGCAATTGAGAGTGCAACATAGGTAACTTTCACACAAAATGCTGTTTCCTGACCAAGATTTGGAGAAAAAAGCCTTTTTGTGAAACGTGCATTTTCAAGCAGAAAAGTGGGTTTTTTTTGTCTTTACTGATATTTTACAATGTATGACAGTTTCTTACTATGACACAAAACAGTAACAATACTTTGAATTGTATTTTTAATGTATAATTATTTTTAAACAAATTAAACGTGTACACACAATACACTCAAAGGATTGTCTTATGTACACATACAATATTCAACTTGTATACAATAAAACACTTTGTATACAAATACACAGTAAAAATAACACTTTCTGAACACTTTGTGAAACAATTTTACTTTAGTTTATAAAGAATAGTAATTGGGTGACCCCACACTCTGCTGAAGTGTGGGGTGGAATCTACTTCCTCCGCACTCCCAATTAGAGCCCTGCACTTGAGCCCTTGGCCCGAGGGCCCCGACCGCATAATGACCTCGGACACGGGCCGGGCTCGGGCTCTTCATTTTCAGAGCGGCAGAATAGATTTACGAGCGCACCCACTGAATATAGCGTTCTATCACGCTGTAGTGTTTGTTGTTCTGTGTAGTGTTGTCATTGACGGCACATAGCATTACTTATGTAATGTGCAGATGTGTTGCAGCATCTGGGGCATCATACAGATGCGGCCGTTCACTCTGCACCACTCCGCACACACAGAACTCATTGCAACACATCACTACCATGTATAACTCCGCCCTCTAGCTAAGTCTGCGTTCATATCAGTGCGCGGCACTATATACTACGCTAAAACATTGTTATGGGAGGTTACAAAAAAAAAAAAAAAGGCGGGCTTGATGCGGGTTTCGGGCTTGAAAATTCAGAAACCATATCGGGCCGGGCCGGGCTGGGGCACCACCCCCTCGGGCCAGGGCCGGGCTCGGGCCCAGATAATAGGCCCGTGCAGGGCTCTACTCCCAATACATTTCCAGATTAGTTTTTTTTTTACAAACCCAGTGAGAAATGTCAAACCAAAAAAGGTTTTTAGCTGCTAGTCTGTCACTGGCTTCCATGCATTTTCTCAGCTGAATGGGAGACGCTGTGTGTGTGCACTGAAATATTGTGCTGCATACAGCTTTGTCTGTTAGACAACAAGATCCAGGATCCAGCAGTTCATCAGTTATGAAGAGCTGCAGAAGTCAGTTGGCTGATCCAAGCTCTGCTGCAGCATTTTGGGGTCCTGGGGTCAACAATCTACAACACAAAGGAAAATATAAAATCACCATACATTTTCACATTATAACAAGTGTTTTGGCTTCACCAGCTATGACATTGAGATAAAAAAAACTCTTCAATATTCGCTAAAAACGTTACTTTATGTTTATTTTTACTATAGTATAAGCCAGTGATTGCTATAGTCACTCCCTCCAGAATTTCTCAATGTTTGAACGCAAAATCACGCAGACTCTGGGATCAGAGCAACAGAGTCTTTCTCTCCCTGTTCCAAAGCAGCAGCGGGCGCGCTCCTGACGCACCCTCCACAGCGAGACGCACCGCAGCAGAATGCACATGGTGCGGTAAATCTAACACTTGTTGCTCATGGGTCCCGCTCACCGGTCTGCCATGGATCACCTCCCCCTGTCCCTTCTATAAACCACACGGTATCATCATCCATAGCTCCCTAGCAGCTAATGCTGCATGCCAGATTCACACGCCTCCAAACTCAAGAGAAACTTTTGGAAAAATGTCCCGCGTAATCAAGCATTTTACCCCGCAATAATCATTCATCAATCAACAATTGCGCGCAAATCCTGGAGGGGCTGAAGTACATTAGACAAAGGGGAGAAATAAACTCGTAAATGCAACATGTTGAAGTGAAAAGCAACTTACCACATTATGACGGAGGGGGGAGGAGCCGCTGCTGCTGCTGCTGCTGGACGAGGAGGGAGGGAGAAGCCTCCGAGGATCCTGGAGTCTCTGAGGTTAACTAAAACCTGAAGAACTAGCATCGTGGCATCTAGCTGCTTCATATTTATCCGTTTGATGACTGAACAGGCTCTCAAACAGCGTTAGCTGCGTGAGCTTTTCAGATCCGCGATCCTCTGTGTAAGCATGGCTGCTCCTCTGGCTGTTTGCTGCTCACAGCACCACATGCCCCCTTCTCCCTCCCTGGATCTGGCCACAGTGTCACCTCTGCCCCCTACAGGATCGGTTCCAAAGTGTTTACAGGTCTGAAATGTTGACACAGGATGCACAAGAGCCTTGACGAGCCATAGAATGAAAAAAACGAAAAAAAAGCAATTGACGTCGTCTATAGACGTCAATGGCGGTGAATGAGTTAATACACACTGTCCCATCCCAATAATGTCAAAAATGGAAACATTTCCAGTGATGGTTCATATAAATGACTCTCACTTCACACAGTATGTTTTGTGATACTCTTCCATTGATAATTGTTACATGTTGATGTATTAACAATAATCTGATATAATGTCACACCGTGGATGTAGCATATAGACTATCCACAAAGAGTAAGTAAGTAAGTAAGTAATCTTTATTTATATTCCGCCTTTTACAGACCAGAGTCACAAAGTGGTTTACAATTGTGGGCATCTGTCTCTTACTCCACACAGAGATGGGAGGGGAGTATATAATCATCTTTCCACCAACCGTTCAGCCATCCAACAAATGTGTAATAACTGTAATGCAATTTAGTCATTGCTGCATAATATTTTCATTGGTAAATTGTTATGGACGGCAGTAGCTCAGTTGGTAGAGCATTGGCCTTTGGGCCTGAAGGTCGTAGGTTCGAATACACCACGGGACCTACTTCACGACTCCCACTGATGACTGCTGTTGTTGTGTCCTTGGGCAAGACACTTAACCCCACTTTGCCTGAAGCCCCCACTGAAAGTTCTCAGCTCCTGTGGACTCACCACCTGCAGGAGGATCAGTGAGGGGCTGGTGCTCTGTGTACTGGGTGTAGCTCTGACTGCCACCCCCCTGACTCAGAAATGGATTAAGGGGAAGAAGATGGATGGATGGAAATTGTTATGGAATTAAAGGTGTTTATCTTTGAACACATATACAAAAAAGCAACTTGCACTGATTTTGTACTTTTAATTATTTAGCAAGTAATCATTTTGATGAGTGTGGTTAAGCATTACATAAAGAAAACAAAATTCATGAGTACATTTTATTGGATGACTTTGCTTTACTCTGGTTTTGACTTAATTTGTCCCAAAAGGCTCCTTTTTCCCTTGATTAAATGAATGGGCATTCACCTAATGCAATAATGTGGCTCTGAATGGAGCTTTTCAGGCCCAGTCAGGCCACTTGTTAGTTGTACTATATTTACCTAATCTCTTACCCTTTTGCAGTTAACTTTCATCCTAATTTGACCTAGATTTCTCCCTTGTTTCAGAAACCAAGAAAACCACTGCCGCCTTCAAAGCAAGGTATTGGTGAGGACTCAGAAATCATTTTTCTCATCATGTTCTTCAGTGACGCAAATAATGCGATGCCACTGTGTGAGATCGCACACCTGCTTTTCCTGTCTGCTCCGGATGCCACTCTTGCCTCCACATACTGTCGCCGTCTGCTCCACTTCGAGACTTCCTGTTTGCATGTAGCTGTGGTCTGCAAGAGTTTCTGTGCATGACCTGATTTTTCATAGTTTTCATTGCAGAATACTTCCGACAGAATTTAGACGTTTTGAACAAAGTAAAATCCAAATGTTTCGTTTTTCAGTACATAAACCGGAGGTGCCGAGTGCAGACAAGAAACCCCTTCCCAACCGGCCAGAGGATAAAGGTAGGTTTGCAATTGTAATATAAATGCAACTAAATATTGCGAATAAATATTGCATAGTTATTTAATATTGATAAAGGGGTGAAAGGGATACAATAATTGGCCTGGATCACTTTAATTCCTGTCACAAGGAATGATGACGAAAGACTCAGGTCTTATCTTCTTTCATTCTTTAGTGTAGCTAATAAAGTGAAGCGGAGAGTTAATCAACCTTGGTATTGGTCTTGAAGTATATTTATCCACCACTGTTATGAAAATCTTTTCTTTATCTATTTGTATTCATTTACATATTGTTGCATGGTTTTGACTAGACTCGCGGTCCACATATTCACTTTACAGCTTCGTTGTGTGTCTCACTTTCTCAGCATATTTTTGGCAGTACTCACCAAAAACCCCATTCACTCGACACAACTTAACTATAGAAAATTATTACTTTTTCTTGCGTAAAAAAATACTGATCAAAAAAACACAAACTCAAGAAATTGCTTTAAGAATATATAGCTCTTTATTGGTTTTTTGAATGCTCTTTGTCATCATCATAAGACAGCTGTGAACTCTTTTTTTTCTTCGCACTTCTAAAACAGTGAAAGTGGCTCTAGGATTGGATTGGATTATCTTTTGCAAGCTCTGGCTGTGCAGTTATTTCTATGTGATCAAATGTAACGTGTTCAGTCAAGACCTGTAGTGAAATGCTGCTCCCACTTGTATGCACTACAAGCAGTACAAGAAAGGCTCTGTGGGTCGTTTTTCAAAACATAAGCAGAAAAGGCCCTGCTAATGAAATGTGTTGGGAATGGATTCAAGGCAGACGCACGGTTTTGACCTGAATGCAAGAAAGAGATTAAACTAAACCATTCCGATGATTAACCCAAATCATAAGTGTACTTTCTTGTTTAAGACTGCAGTTGTCTCCATCCATCTATTTTCTTCCCCTTATTCCATTTCTGGGTCAGGGAGGTTGGAGTCAGAGCTGCACTCAGTACAGATAGCACCAGCCCCTCACTGATCCTCCTGCAGGTTGTGAGTCCACAGGAGCCTTGAACTTCCAGTGGGGGCTTCAGGCAAATTGGGGTTAAGTGTCTTGCCCATGGACACAACGAGAGCAGTCATCAGTGAGAGTCATGAAGTAGGTCTTGTGGTGGCCCTAAGGTCAACGCTCTACCAACTGAGCCACTGTCGTCCCTCAGCTGTTGTCTCCATCAGCTGAATTGTGGACTTTAGTGTCAAGCAAATATCAATAGTCTCATTTATAAGAATATGTGGCTGATCTCTGCAGGTATTTCATTCAATGTGCTTAGAAAAACAAGACCAAATTCAAACTCAAATGAAATCTTAGCTGCACATGTACTATAGTGACTATAGCACTGTGTTCCCACATTCTTCTTGATGAAGCTCAAGTTGTGTTGCTTTTAATGTGTAGCTTTTAAACCCAATATACAGTCATTGGATACAGGTACACAAGTAAGCAATGCCCGAGGAACATTTTCCAATTATTGTTGAAGCTACAGCTTACACTATTGAGCCTATATCATCTACATGCTGCATGTTTACACTTCAACACTTTGCTTGTTATCGCAGCAGTATAATGCCTGAGAGTCGGCATTCAATCACCCACCAATTACATGTAAATGTGGTCTGCGTCACTGTTTTGAGTTTTCCAGTAAACGCATTTTGTAATTTGCATACATTACACTACATGGAGAAAAATGTAGTACATTCATTTAAGGGCTCGCAAGATGAAGGGTCATCCATTAATCTGTAGCCGTCTGTAAAAAAAAAAAATATGGTCAATGCAATTCGTGTGTGTTCAGAGGAACAGTCAAAAACAGTATGAATAGACCATTGCGTGTTCATGGAATACTTTTAATTAATTAATTTATTTATTTGATATGGACACACAAGTTACATTGGACAGACCAGAGGCACTGCCTTTTAGTGTTATAGCAAGACCATGCTAATTTTCAACACTTGTCCATGAAAGGCTTTTAGGACACAAATTCACACATTTAAAATTGACAAATATAAAAGTAATTCAATATACAGTTCATTAGGCATGTGAACAACGTTGTTGCAATTTCAGCTACAGTTTCAGACGTCTGACAAAGATGTTCAAGTCCGTTTGTAGTTTTAGGTCAGTGGGAAGAGCGTTCCGCAGTTTGGCTCCATTGAAGGAAAAGCTAGACCAGCCATTCCCAAACTCAGTAACACCGAGGCCCCCTTAAAAATCTGACGGGTCTGCGTGGCCCCCCAAAATAATAACCAAGAAGACAACATTAAGAATAGGCTCTTTTGGTTATTTTATTTTGGGGAAATAGCCTCTGCTACAAACATTGTAATACAAAAATGATTACAGTGGATTATTCAAGTCAAATAATGAACACAAATATTTTAATATTACAAACAAAACATTATAAATTTAACATTAAATAATTATATTATTTTTTTTATTTTTTTTATGACCTCCCGCGGCCCCCCTGCAGTACCCTCGCGGCCCACCAGGGGGCCGCGGACCCCACTTTGGGAGACACTGAGCTAGACTGTCTCAACAATGTTCTGGACTTAAGAACCAGACAGTCCCCACTGACTGAGGCTCTGGTGTTAGGCCTTTGAGAGCCTTGACGTCTGACAGCCAGACCAGACCTCTACAGACTGGCTGAAACTTCTCCTAATGTCCTGTTGTATCTCACAGTTGACAAACCGATGCCAGAAAAGCACTTGAAGCCAGCGCCGCTCCCCCCGCCCAAACCCACAGCCCCCGGGAAAGGCCGCCCCGTGAGCCATCCGCCCAAACGGCCTGAGAAGCCCCTGGCCCCCTCCGCCAGCCTCAGGTAAGAGCCTGGAAGCAGCTGTGTTACAAATGTATTATCTTTGTTTTTGCCCTGAAACATGCATTATATGTTTTGGTTTGTGAAATAATGTCTTAAGTGGATGATATACTGTATGACATTATTTCACAAACCAAAACATATCCACAACCTATATCATCCACTTAATGTCTTTAGTGGATGATATATGTTGTACCCAATGGTCGTGGGTTCGATCCCACCACAACCCATGTCATCTGCTCCCACTGATGTATGCTGTCGTTGTGTCCCTGGGCAAGACACTTAACCCCACTTTGCCTGAAGTCCCCGACGGAAAGCTCTAGGCCATCTGTGTTGAAGGTGCAGCCATCTTCCTGTGGACTCACCACCTGCAGGAGGATCAGTGAGGAACTGGTGCTTTGTGAATTGGGTGGCAGCTCTGATTGCCACCACTCTGACCCAGAAATTGATAATAAAGGGACGAAAATGAATGAATGAATGAGGATGATATATGGTCTGGTGATGGTCTTGATTCTAATTGCTAATTTACACAGAAGGCGTTACAGCTCATACGTGTTGTACGCGCAGCAGGCGCACGTAAAATTTTTCCATGTCAACCAATGGTGATATTTACACTACCAGTGTTATACGCGCGTATGACGGACGTATTGACGCGAGGCTGCGCCCAATTTAGGATGGATTTCTAATTTTGTGCATGCAGCAACGTGTCTCCCAGTCAAAACACATGTGAAAGAGGATTTTTTCTAGCGGCCCTTGGCTCTAGTATATAACTTGTATCTAAACAGGAGAACTGGCAGGTTTTACAGTGATTCTGAACATCGCTTTTTTTTCTTTCATAAAGTCTCGCGTCTGGCCAGACCAGCACACAGAGACCATGAAGACAAACACATGCATATGATTTGTGTTGCTCTACATCAGTCCTCTGGCCCGTACTGTCCTCTACACTTCTCCATAGACTACACATGGACAGCATCAAAAGCCACGGACCTGCGCGTACAGCCAGTGTACATACAGCCAAATAATGTTACGCACCTATGCGCACAGTCGACGCTTACGCGCTGTTAATGCCTACTGTGTAAATTCCCTGTAAATGTAAGATTATTTATTTGTCCCACAGTGGGGAAATGTCAGAGTTGCATCACAGTTTACAGAACAGTAAGAATAAGGAGCAAACAAACACAAAAGTCTTTCTTGTCTAGGGCTGCAACTAACGATTAGTTTAATAATCGATTAATCTGTTGATTATTTTTTTATGAATCGGAAAAAGAAAAAAAAAATCCATCCCTTTATTCAAAAACGTGGCCATGGACCAACACAAAAAAACATGTATACTGTGCAGTATCTGCCAAATATTAGCTTGTTTTTAAAAGTAAAGTGCACAAAAAGAGGTATTTTTTTGTTGTTTAAAAGGGACCCGAGCAGTCAGAACAATAAATAAATGATAAAAGAAAAAAACAAATTCAGGATTTTTTTTACATTTAAACTTGTTCTCAACACTTGTTAAGTAAAAGTTATCCTGAGTGGCACTGTGAGACACAGAAGCACACTCAGACATGTATGTCTGAGAGTGAATACACTCTAAAGCTGTGTTCAGACCAGATCATGCTGCGATGAGTTTCAATGCAAAGTGTGTGATGTCCGTTCATGAGAGGAATTGCATGGACGTCGCGGCACGCATGTTTATCCCGCACAGGAGACTTGTTGTTGCGGCGCGGAAGAGGCAGTGAATACAGCGGTGAGATGCATGCAACAAAACCAAGAGATGAACATCCTCGCTCCACACACGTGCGGCCATCAATCAGAGAGCAATGGAGTACGCGGCGCTTGTGAACATGTCTTCACCCTGAGTTGACATTCTACTGTCACTGTAAATAAGTGTTGCTAACGTGTTCGCCAATGCTGAAGTACCAGAGTTAGCATCAAAGCCCGCCCACCACTTCTGTCCTGCGTTTTTCCCCATCGCAGGAAAGTACAGCACCAGTTCAGCTGACTAAACTCATGGATGTGATATTTAGTGAAAGTGCGACCATGCCCCCATCTACGCACATGCATCCATTGTCTGAACACAGCTGTACAAGAATGCGCCCAACTCACGTGAGCTCCGCGATGTAGTGGGTGACGTATTGATCGCCCGACACAACGAATTGATAATGAAATTCATTGCCAACACTTTTAATAATCGATTTTTATCGATTTTATTGATTTGTTGTTGCAGCTCTACTATAGCCAGTAATGGGCAGATAGCTTAAAGCTGCATTACCTCACTTTATTTTTGTATTCATTCCAAAAATTCAATCCATATCCATGCAGTGCATTGGGATATACATCCTTTTGACGAATAAATAGCGCAGATATGTGCTTATTTTAGATCGAGTTTTTGAGCAACAAGGAAGAGAATTTGTTTCGGGACCAGACTGTGACAAATCACAGCGGACCACTGGCCCCCACTTTCTTGAGAAAATCTGCAGGTCTCTCGTTAGCACAAACAGCTGAGGTAAACAAGCAGCGGAGGCTAACCTGAAACTTCCTGTGTCTTTGTTACCGGTTACTGCTTACTCAGCAAAACAGCCATCCAAAAGAAAGTCTCGTTCCTCCGTGCTTCCCGGTTCTATCATTCTATGGTCACTCCATCCACGTTCATGTAAGCTCCATAAACAGCACCTGTGCGGCTGAGGGGGAGGGGGGTAGTGGGGGGCAAAAGCTCCGTGAGTGCGGGGAGGGTGAGCAGAGAGCGAGGCCAGCGCTCACATTCGAAAATTTCACAAAGTGAGTTAGTGCAGCTTTAACTACATTTTTCAGTAGCCCGGAAATTTCTGTTTGTACATAACAGCGTCTCCTGTAGCCACAACACAAACAAATTAAGAAGCACATGCGTTGGCCTTGGTGACAACAGACGCGTGCACACACACACACACACACACACAAATGCTCTACCACAGGGAAAAGACAGGATGGCAGCCCAGGAGCCGAGGAGAAGTCGTAAGATGTGACACCATGGCCAATACCCAAGTATTTAACTTTAGTGTTTTCAGATGCCTTCTTTGTAATCCTAACAAAATGTTCCTGTCAACATCCAACACAAACTTACAAACACATGTTCAGGTGAAAGAATTGAATTTACCCTTTTTAAATTTTGCATCAATGAGTGCAATTAAGCTTAAATCAGATAACAAAACAAATTAAGTAGATGAGAGGTGGGAGAATTGAATAAGTTCAAACAGTTAGATAGCTCATGCCAACCAGCAGACGTCCACGACGAGTTTAAGTAAGAGAAAAGCTATTTTAGTATTAAGCTTAGCTTATTGTATTGAATGCCTACCTAATTTGTGATGGCTTATTACTAAAATTTCTTCTCACTTTATTCTATTTACAATTTCAAAAAGCATTCTTGTGTTTTTCTCGTGTACAATACACACACAATCCACACAAAAAACACAATGCTTTTTGAAATTGTAAATAGAATAAAGTGAGAAGAAATTTTAATCCTATCCAGCTCTTCCCTCCCTTCAGATCCATCTGCCTCCGATCTAGTCACTTTCTATAACCACACACTCTCCTCCTGCCTCAACCAAATTGCCCCCATGAAAACTGCCTCAGTCTCCTTCTCTACCTCCGCCCCTTGGTATACCCCAGATCTCCACAGTCTCAAAAAACAAAAGAGACAACTTGAAAGGCTCCATATAAAAACTGGTCTCCTCGTTCATGCACAAGCCTACAAACAAGCCACAACCACATACAACTCTGCTCTCAAAACTGCCCGGTCCAACTACTATTCACAACTCATCCACTCAAATTCTTCCAACCCCCGCACCCTATTCTCAACTTTTGCAAATCTGACAAAACCCAAGGACAATATAACCTCCACATTCACTACAGACAAATGCAATAACTACCTGTCATTCTACCATACCAAAATCCATACCATACACTGTTCACTTGCCTCCACTTCCTCCTCTTCTCCCTACTCCGAACTTGAACCCACTGCACCCACAGTCCATAGCCTTCCTTCCTTCTCCCCCCTCTCTCCCTCTGACACCACCAAACTTCTCTCAACCATGAAATTTTCCAACTGCCAGCTTGATCCAATCCCATCTTCCCACCTCAAAACCTGTCAACTAACTCTCATCCCTCTCATCACCTGCATCATCAACACTTCCCTAACCTCTGGTTCTGTCCCTTCCCCGCTCAAACTAGCCTCCATCACACCCCTCCTGAAAAAACCCGGCCTCAACCCTGACAACTTGGACAACTTTCGACCCATCTCCAACCTCCCGTTACTGTCAAAAATCCTGGAACGCGCCGTCATCAACCAAATCCACCAATATCTCCACTCCTCCCATCTCTTCGAAACATTTCAATCTGGATTCCGTACACACCACAGCACAGAAACAGCACTTCTCAAAGTTACTAACGACCTCCTCCTCGCTGCCGACTCTGGTTCCTTATCCATCCTCCTTCTCCTCGATCTCTCCGCTGCATTTGACACAATAGATCATTCCATCCTCCTCCACCGTCTACAATCCATTGGAATTTCTGGCACAGCACTCCTCTGGTTCACCTCTTACCTCTCCAATCGTCTCCACTTCGTGTCTGTCAACAACTGCAAGTCCCACACTTCCCCCGTCACCCACGGTGTCCCCCAAGGTTCCGTGCTCGGCCCTCTCCTCTTCACCATCTACATGCTTCCCCTCGGTCAGATCATCCGCCATCATGGACTCCATTTCCACTGTTATGCCGATGACACGCAACTCTACATCTCCACCAAATCCATCACCCCGGTTATTCGCTCCACCATCGAAAATTGCATCTCCGACATTAAAACCTGGATGGACAATAACCTTCTCAAACTCAACAGTAACAAAACAGAACTCCTCATCATCAGCCCCAAAACTCTCCTGCCCTCTGTCCAGAACTTCACCCTCCTCATTGACGGTCACACTGTCACACCCTCATCCTCTGTACGCAACCTTGGCATCATATTGGACTCCACCCTTTCATACCAAACCCACATCAAACACATCACCAAAACCTCCTTCTTCCACCTCGGCAACATTGCCCGCCTCCGCCCCTCCCTTACCCAGTCAACAGCCGAAATCCTCATCCACGCATTCATCACCTCCAGACTCGACTACTGCAACAGCCTCCTCTACGGACTTCCCACCACTCATCTCCAAAAACTGCAATACATCCAGAACTCTGCAGCCCGCCTCCTCACCCACACCCGGTCCAGAGAACACATCACCCCTGTCCTCCAGCAGCTCCACTGGCTCCCCGTTCAATACCGCATCCATTACAAGCTCCTTCTCCTCACCTACAAGTCCCTCCATAACCTGGCCCCGCCCTACCTTACTGAGCTCCTACAGCAGCACCAACCCACCCGCCGCCTTCGCTCAGCCAATTCCAACCTCCTCACCCCCATCACCCGCACTAACCGCCGAACCTTGGGGGACAGAGCTTTTGCCATTGCTGCCCCAACCCTCTGGAACTCACTCCCACTGCTCATTAGAAACTCCGACTCACTATCAAACTTTAAATCAGTATTCAAAACCCATCTTTTCAAACAAGCTTTTCCGTAAACCCCTTTTTATTATTGTATTTTACTCCCCATGTGAAGCGTCTTTGAGTGTCCAAGAAAGCGCTATATAAGTTTGATGTATTAGTAATAAGCCATCACAAATTAGGTAGGCAACAAAGGTCCATTCAATACAATAAGCTAAGCTTAAAGTAGCAGTATGTAATATTTGCATGTCAAGTCATCAAATGGCCCCAATATTTCAAAAGGCGTTATTAAATCATGCTCTTTTCGAATGCATCTTTAACTGATAACAGTAGTTCAGCCGAGATATTTGAATATCAAAATTTGTTTTACGACCCGACTTTGCGAATCAGGAAGTCCCATGGAAGTCCGTGATCGGGTTGCCAGATCTCCGCACGGCTAGCTAATCTCAGTGGTAAAATAACATGTGGCCACATAACTAAAAAAGGTCTTGTTATGACTCTCAAATCATTAATGACAAAACAAGGATTTATATCGGGACGCCTTTGAAAAATTGAGACAGCGGATAAAAGTTTTTGTGTGATGCAAAACTTGCTGCATCTGATAACTGCTAATATGTGACGATGGTGTAGTGCAGGGGTGGCCAACCCGCGGCTCGTGAGCCGCATGCGGCTCTTTGGCTGGTTCCGTGCGGCTCTCGGGCTTCCACACGACAAGCGTCAAAAACGCCTCGGTGGTGGCGCTGCCTTTCATTCCATATGTAGTTCTGACCAATAGTAAAGGCCGACTTCACTCCACTAGCCAGGCCGCCAAAACAATCTGACGTCGGCGAACGTCAATTCTGGTTGGTCAGATGCATTGTCAATCACTCTGCAGCTGCTACCTCAGCTGTAGCAAATATCATAACAAACAACACGTTGCCTCGAACCATGACGTCCGTACGGAAAAGAATTCCTTGGTCGCTGGATGAGGGCAACACCTTCCTCAGTTTGAGGAGAGGACACCAGCCTGATCTCGCTGGTTCCACCAGAAACCAGAAGGTGTTTGTGGAGCTAGCACTAAGGACGGAGCAGAATGATTCCCACAAACATGACAATGCAGAGAAAAGTTAAAAAGCTTAAAAGTGACAACCGTGAAATGAAAGATCGCAGCAGCAGAAGTAGAGGCAGACCCGAAAAGTCTGGAGGTGGTTTGACCAAATGGATTACATTTACGGACATCGGCTAACACCGGCTAACATGCTAAAACCAGCTAACAACAACTAGCATTACACCAGGAGATAAGCCTCAACTCTGCCTGGTGAGTGTCTGTCTTCAATCAAATGCAAAAGTATCTGGTCTTATACTGAACATGTGTCTGTGGTTCTAAATCAGCTAAAGTGGTGTTGGTGTTATGTGTCAAATCTATATCTTTTACTAAAGACAGTTGTGTTTCTGCTGAACACTGGGTTGAAACTTGATTTTTTTTTCTTGGTTAGAGATTGCAAGCATTCATTTCGGAATCATAATTGATGTTCGCTGACGTGAAATTGTTCTGGTATCGACTCGCCCGGTTAGAACCAGGGCCAAACCATTAATAAAAAGTACCGGGGAGCGGCTGAAGCGAGCAGTAGAAGCGCCCGCAGACCGGGGAGAGTCGAGTCCAGCCCTTTAGTACTGTACGAGTCAATTTCTGTCATTATCATGTTGATGACATTTACAATAAATCTGTCTGAGCAGAGCACACCTCTCTCTGCACAGACAGATTGCATGTGTGTGCGCGTGTCTGCTCGTGTGCGTACGTGCCCGTGTGCGTGCGTGTGTAAGGGTTGGTGTGATGTTTATGTAGTGCACATTTGTATGATGTGGCTCTTTGCTGTAACACAGTAAAAAAAATTGGCTCTTAGTCTCTGACTGGTTGGCCACCCCTGGTGTAGTGGTTAGGACGTTGCGCTTGAACCCCGGCGATCCGCTAGATTTCTAGTGCATAATATCACATGTTTTGACAGATTTCTCAAACGGTCATGTTTTTTGTGTGCAAATTATAGCTTAATTGTAAAAATAATCATTTGAGACCACATATACCCCAATTAAAATAATGTTTGCCTCTTTTAGATGTGGGACTTATACATGGATGTCTAAAAAATAGGGAATAAATAAAATTGAAGGGTGATGTCCTTTGGAGTCTGGAGGAAACCCTGATGTTGATACACTGAATATGTTCCAACATCCATTCTTCCCACTCCTATTTTGGATATCAATTGCTTATTTATTTTGCATAATCTATGTATAATTACATTGCTTTTATTTTGTTTTTGTTTTTTTATCTCAAATGTCAAAATAATAATAATAAAAAAACATCAATCAAAACATTCATTCAACATTAGCATGGCTATCATGGCAATGTGAGAGACAGACAAACAACTGATAAAATAATTCCCTGTGTTTGCTGCTGGATTTGGTGTGTATCTGGCAACCTGAGTCAGGGAGAGTGGGAGAGGACTACAAAATATTGACTGTGACTGCAGTACCACTTTTTGGCCCGTCTGTATATGCACGGGGAGGCGTGACGTCATTTCCTTTAAACAAAGAACAGCTCGTTTACTGTCTATGCTATTGCTGATACATTCAGCTGTGAGACTGAGAGAAAGCACGTCAACACTTTTGGGTCAGAGAGATTAGTTAACTTTATAAAAGCACAATGACAGCTCAATCAAAGAGCACTGCTGTGTCCCAAAAATTGTGTATCCCAAATTGTGAATAAAGCAAGGATAAAAATGGCAACACTTTTAACTAGTTATTAAAGCAGATAAAGGAGTGAAGCCAGCTAAATACTCAAACAAAATTTAAAAACAAAACAATATTCAGTATACAGCATTTTGGATTTCCCCCACTCCAACAATTCCTTTCTTCATACTTGTATCACACTTTTTCCCTTTTTCTTTGCAGGCACAATGGAGATCTGCCTTCCACTCGTTCAAAGCCAGAGCCTGAGCCATTACCTCAGTTGCCCGTGTCCAAACCCAGGGTTCCGGTGCCAGAGGCCACAGAAAAGCCCACAGACCTAGGTAATCTTTACACTGATGCCCACATCTTATCACATATGGTTTGTGTCATGTTGCTTAAGATTAAGAGAGCCTTCATTTTTCCCACAGTAGAGAACTTCAAACTTTGCCACACAGCACCTTACTGCTTGCCTCTTATGAAGGTTATTTTGTGTTTTTATTATCAACACTTTTTTTTGCTTTTGAATTCTATAAACTGTAACAAAAAAGTATTCAGTGTAAATATATTCAATGTTTTAAAATTCAGTGTCAAAAAATTCAATGTTGAAAGAAATTCAGTGTCCAAAAGTTCGTAGCTTTTTTTTTCGCTGCTTGAAATGTCATGCTTTATTTGCGGGTAAATCAAGAAAGAAGCATTCGATCAGCCAATCCTCCATAGATGTAGCCGGGGCTAGAACATGACTTGTCTTGTTCATCTGAACATGGTCTCCACAGCAAACCAGTAAGTGTGTTTTCTCATCATTAGTTGGTATGTAACACGCAAACCACTACTGTATGTACTTTCTGAACATGTTTTTACCTTAGCTTATCATTAGCTAGCTCCGCGTAGGTGGATTCTAGGTTTTGGCGATTCCCCAAAGCTGGTCTTCGCTAATGCTAAGCTAAAATGAAACGCAGGAAAGCCAAGTACACGGGGTTTGCGGTTCTTGTGTGACATATGTACTATGTTCCCAATTTCAATGTGTATATTATTCTAGCAGTGCAGCAAGGACGAAACCTGCGGACTGTTTTAGAGACAGAGCAGATGATAATTATTCTATCTTTACTCTTAAATTTTGACATCTTAGTGAGACCAAGATGGAATGAAGGATCGGTTCTTAAGGGAGAAAACAAACCCATGGATTCAATATTAATGCTACAGAGAGGAATCAGACTGATAGATATGGTTGTACAATACAATACAATACAATTTATTCTTGTATAGCCCTAGGTCACAACAGAAGTCATCTCAGAGGACTTAACAAAACCATTGAAATCACCAACACAGGTCAGAGAATCAACAGTTAACACATGGAGAATATAAAGCACACACAGAAGAAAATGTCCATACATGTTGTAGAATGCTAAAGTGTCCTGATCATCACCAATCCTTTCTGTTGGACACTAACTGTCCAACAAGACCCTCCTGCATCGACAAGGAAAAACTCTTAAAAAACCCAGTGGGAAAAAGTGAGAAACCTTGGGGAGAACTAGGGAAACCCACAGGGAGGGAGACCCATATGAGAAAGGGATCCGCTCCTCCGGACGGACAGGCTAATGATCTAGGACCTAAGCCTGCTACAGGACGTGGACCAGTGGCCGCTGAACGTGGACAGGTCCGGTGCAGGACCGAAGCACTCCCAGGCGGGTCGGGCGGGGCAGTCCGCAGGTGTAGATGGAGGAGGCCAGGCTCAGAGATCCCGTCATCGTACCATGAAACAGACAATGGGACAACGGGTGAATAGCAATGAAAAAACTACAGTCAGAATCCTAAAAGTGCTAAACAGATAAACTAGATAAAGTAGGAAGGAGAGGATAGTGCTCAAGTTACCATACTTCTCCCAGCAAACTGACTCCCTATGCAGCTTGACTGACACTCTGAGGAGTTTAGCCTTCCCTGAGTCTTACCTTCCTAGCCATATGCTAAACTAAAGAGGACTGTTTTAAACCTAACCTTGAATAAAGAGATTCATGGATTGCACACCAGGTGTGCAAACCGATCCAAGCAAACCTAATTATATATTATATATCATATACATCATATATACCATACATACCATATATATCATATATAATACATACAGCATAATATATAACATAATATACAACATAACACAATACATTATTGTATAATATATAACATAATATACAACATAATACAGCATATATATATAATATATACACCATATATTATATATTACCTAATTATATGCTAAATTAAAGTAAAGTGCTTTAAGCCTGGCCTTGAATGTGGAGACCGTATCTGCTTCCTTAACATAAATGGGAAGCTGATTCCACAGTAAAGGAGCTTGGTAGCTAAATGCTCTGCCACCAACAGTGATTTTTGAGACCTTAGGGACCACCAGACGTCTGGCGTTTTGTGAGCGCAACGCTCGACTTGGTTGATACGACACTAACGTGTCTTGGAGATAAGAGGGAGCCAAGCCATTTATGGCTTTATATGTTAAGAGAAGGATTTTAAACTTTATTCTGTACTCCACAGGGAGCCAGTGGAGTGATTTTAACACCGGAGTTATGTGCTCCCTCCTTTTGGTACCTGTTAACATCCTAGCTGCTGTATTCTGAACGAGCTGGAAGCTCTTCAAAGACGCTTTAGGGCACGCTGCCAGTAAAGCGTTACAGTAGTCGAGCCTTGAGGTGACAAACGCGTGAATGAGTTTTTCCGCGTCACTTTTAGGAAGGAAATTCCTAATTTTAGCGATGTTCCGTAAGTGGAAGTACGCCGTTTTAGTTGCTTGGCTTATATAAGCCTTGAAGGAGAGTTCTTGGTCAAAAATGACTCCAAGATTCCTCACAGTGTTACTGGGTATAATACTGACATTATCGAGAGTAATTATCTGGTTAGTGAGGGTGTCACGCAGGCGCTTCGGACCGAGTAGGATCACTTCTGTCTTCTCCGGGTTGAGAAGTAGGAAGTTAAGAGTCATCCACATTTTAAGGTCCTTTATGCAGGCACTAAGCTTTTCTAGCTGATCTGTCTGATTTGGCTTCATCGACAGATAAAGCTGTGTGTCATCTGGGTAGCAGTGGAAATTAATTCCATGCTTTTTAATAATGTTTCCTAATGGCAGCATGTAGAGAGTAAAAAGAATCGGTCCGAGTACCGAACCCTGCGGCACACCGAATTCTACTCCAGAAAAAGGTGACGAGTTCTGATTTACGTTGACGAAGTGATACCGATCTGATAAATAGGATTTAAACCAGCCAAGGGCTGTTCCTCTAAGACCTATATCACATTCTAGCCTCTGCAGTAGAATGCTGTGGTCTATTGTGTCAAATGCAGCACTAAGGTAATTGAGTATATTTGTAAATCCCACTCTACCAGCCTCCTGTTAAAGACTGGCTATGTATTTACATTTACTGTTGATATGACATGTTAAGTTATTGAATAGTGTTCATGTGTGTTGGTAAAGGCATCGTACTTCTGCTCCTCCTCAGAGCGTCTGTTTCTACTCTACTACTGTATATTTGTATTAATTAATTTGACTGGGACAGTACATGTATATGAACATGTATGTCGACATGTCTGATTGTAACAAAAGGCTCATTTTTATCCCAGAAGAACCAATTAATGATTTTTTTGTGTGAATTTCTTTTCCAGAGGCAGCTGTCTTTCAGAGGCCATCATTTCTTCATCCATTTCATCCAGCTCCTGTGGATTACGATATAAACTACAACAACCAATATGTTCATTTGTTTTATTAATTACAAGTCATGGATAGTTAGAACACATCTCATTTTCTGAAGACATATGCAGCAGCAGTGACAACAGTAACAACAGCAGGTGCCTGGACGTCTGCCTCTGACAGTCTTTTCTACGGTGGACTCATCACAACCTGGAATAAAATAAAATAATTATGATTTAGTTCTTTGTGTGCAATGAAAAGTGATGTATGCGTTTGTTTTATCCAACCACACAATCCGTGAGAAACATGTTTCATAGCTTTTATTTAAGTACTTCTAATCTTAAATACATTTAAGCCATTAACTCTGACATGATCAGGTCTGTTGGATTTCAAGAGGCAAGGAGCTTGTGCTCAAAAAGTAAGTACTCATGACCTTAAATCTGGTATGTAAGTTCAAGTCCACGCGTCTTCTGTGTCCAGCTTCATGTTCACAGACGTCCCCCTGTCAGTAAATGCACATTATCACATTTTTACTTAATACAAATTACTTAACAACTAAGTGATGCACAAACGAGGGCCATAGCAAATCCATTATTTACATGAAATATCACATTTTTAAGACTAATGATTACTCTTAAAACACTTGTTATAACAGAGAAAGTATGATACAAAAGCTGCCTTTTTGGGTTTTCATAATTACTTCCACAATTAAGACTGTTAGCATAAGGGAGCTCTCAAAATGACTCCCAGGGCATGACGCTCCATTCTGGGCATCAGCGCAGCTCTACACCCGTGGTTAGCGTGTTAGCACTGGAGCTCAAGGCTGGAGAAAAAGTCCAAAGATAATCTGTTTAATCACCAAACAGACCTCTGATATAACAATAGAAGGGGCTATTGTGCTTCCTGCTTCTGTGGACTCTGCAGTTGTCTAATGACAAACTGCAGAAGTCTGAATCATCACTAACCAGGAGTCATAATGCTTTAATCTGTGCCCATATCTCTATCTTTTCTCTATGTTCCTAATTCTGGAAACTTTGTAAATAGAATGGAGTTCATTTATTGAAAAAAACTCAACATCCTAATCAGCAATTATGGATTTTTAGAAAGGACATCACTGAACTTGCATTATTGTCTGGACTAGTTTTCCTCCTTTGATCTTCCTTCATGGTCCCAAACAGACGACATATTTGTATTCATCAGTTCTTATTTCTTTGAATGAGGGCAGTACATATGAATGTGTCAGAAACAGCTTCAACATCAAGATGCTGGAATTAGCACAAAAGCTAAAATGCATCCTTTGTCCTAAAGCGGCAGAAGAAACACATGTTTAATATATATGCTCTGTATGTTCATGGGGAGGCTGCACCTTTATACTTCTTTCTCATTTTAGAGCCCACCACTTGGAAACACAATACATTTGTAACAATAACACATTTGAATATTGTATATATACTAAAACACCATGTTAGGCAACGTGACTTGTATATGTCAATATTCTGTACTTATAACAGAGTGGGGACCATTTTTTTTCTGAACTAAACTGCAGAGTCAAACCTCTGTCTCCTTCTACATTCAACTAACGTCATCTTTGAATCTTACAGCTAAATTTCCACAGTAGGCGCGTTAACGGCGCAATAAAGCGTTTACTGCGCGCTTTTTGCGCACATTCGTGGCTGTATCTACTCAGGGCCGTGCGCAGGTCCGCGGCTTTTGAAGCTGTCCCTGTGTAGGTCTATGGGAGCAGTGTAGAGGACAGTACAGAGGGACTGATAGTAGAGCTAACACATATCACATGCATGTGTTTGTCTTCAGGTCTCTGTGCCTGGTCTGCACCAGACCAGGGACTTTATGAATGAAAAAAAAAATAAACAATGTCGAACACTGTTAAATACCTGCTGCTCCTCCGTGGTGTGCAATTTCCTAGTGTTTTGTTTGGAGACGCGTTGCAGTGTGCACAAAATTTAGATATCATCCTATATTAGGCGCAGCCTGCGCGTCATATGCACATTTAACATAGTAGTGTAAATAAGTAGTTCACATTGGTAACATGGAAAAATTGTTACGCGCGTATAACGGGTACGTACGTTTAACGCTTCCTGTGTAAATTAACAGTTAGACTCTACTTTAAAGGAACCATAAAGTTTTTCCTTCAGAAAAATCTTGATGTTATCCGAGTATACCAGACACAAAAGTAAAGATGTTCAATCCTCAATAAGTGTTCCTTTTGTGTAATTTACAGGTTAGCTTCTTACTTTTATAATGAAACCATAAGATTTTCCTTTCTAGAGACAAAAACTTGATGTATCCGAGTCGCCTGACTCAATGTAAAGTTTTCAAATCACAATAATAAGTGTTTGGTCTGTCTAAAGCTCAGCCAGCCTGCAGCACAGGGTTTTATGACTGAAGTGTGATCCTGTAGAGTCTGAATCGGGTTCACATGATGCTGCCGCAGCTCTGTTACTTCCACTTTGTCCAGATGCTGACGTCTTCACACCTGCTTCTTCAGGTTTTCATGTGGTTTATGATGTGATGTGCTTTGTGTTTAAGACTTTCCACATTTTCACAGACAACATGGTTTCTCTCCAGTGTGGTCCTCTGATTGATTTTTGGAGGGGGGGGGGGGCGGGGGGGGGGGGGGGGGGGGGGGGGGGGGGGGGAGGGGGGGGGGGGGGGGGGGGGGGGGGGGGGGGGGGGGGGGGGGGGGGGGGGGGGGGGGAGTACGATTGAGTGAAAAACTGAGGATCACAAACGTCGCAGTCCTGAACGGTTTTTCTCCAGTGGGGATTCTGCTGTGGACCTTGAGATCTCCTTGTGTTGTTAACCTGGTCCACACAGAATCCACTTCGTATGGTTTTTCTCCAGTAGTGATGGTCTGTAGGGGGGTCTTATAGGTGCAGAAGCCAGTACTGTAGGTCTTGCCACACTGAAACACTCGTATGGTTTTTCTCCAGTGTGTGTAGTTTGCTGTGGGGACCTTGAGCTTGTCCTTTTTGTAGTAAAAACATGTTCCACACTGATCTCACTCGTATGGTTTTTCTCCAAGAGTGGCTTCCGATGGTGAGCGTGTGCGCTTCTGATTGCGAGTTCTAAAAGTTTTTCTGCAGTGAGAGGTCTACATGCAAAATGGTTTTTCTCCAGTGTGAATTCCTCTCATGACTTTTGTAGTGTGGATAACACTAGCGGGTATTCTCCTATCCCGCAGGCTCTCTACACAGGACGAATTGGTTTTTCTTCCAGTGTGGATTCTGTTGTGGCGCACCGTGAGGTTGATTTGAATTTTGTATATAAGTGCCTTTCCATCCACTGGTCTACATTGGTGAGGTCTCGCTCCTGTCGGGTGACATCGCTGATGTCGTGAGTAGCTGGCTGTTTTATCCCGATATCATGTTTTTCCACTACTGGTCTACAGTATAAAATATGTATTGGTTTCTCTCCGTGGTGGATCCTCTGTTGAGCCTTGAGAGTATTTCTTCCATTGTCCTCTAAAACTCTGATCACAAATCGTTCCTGACGTAGTTTAATCTGAACGGTTTTTTCTCCAGTTAAGACCTCTGTAAAAAATACAACCCACGTGTAGGTTTTTTGATACAGTGACGTGTATTTGGACAAAAAAAAAAAAGCAGCTTTCAATTACATTCCAAATTTTGAAAAACAATTTGGAAAAAAACCTAAATTAAAGTTGTGTAAACATTAATATGATAAAACAAACATAATGTATAGGTTTACTTTTACAAAATTACATTATATTACATTACATTTTCATCCCTTTAATCATCCATTTCTGGGTCAAGGGGATTCAGAGCTGCCGCCCCCCACTTTCACAAAAAATAAATAATAAAAGAATAAGAACAAGTGAGCCCACACAGAGTCAGGAGAACAACCCTGCTTCAGGCCGGACTCAGAGGATGGGACAGAGAAAGGAAGTGATAGAGGGAGGGGTGAGAGGGAGACGAGGGAAAGAGGTGGAGAGTGGAGGCTCAGAGAGGAAGGACAGATAGAGGAGGAGAGAGAGGAGGAGAGAGGAGGGAGTGTGTCAGGACAGACCACAAACGTTTTCCTGGAGCCCAGAGCAGATAGCACAGAGCAGAGAGCACAGAGCAGAGAGCACAGAGCAGAGAGCACAGAGCACAGAGCAGAGAGCACAGAGCAGAGAGCAGAGACATGCTGTGAGAAGATAGCGTCCTCTCGGTGAAGTTTTTTTTTTTAAACAATGCTTTGGGGAAACGGCAGGAAGTCCTAAGTCGCTCTGAAACAGTTGTTTTGTGCTTTACTATTTTTATTTCTCTTGCTTTTTTTGATTCCTTGATTTTTCTCCAAAATCCACTGGAGGAATGCTAACTTTTTGGAAAATGCTAATGAGGCATTTAGCATTTTACTTTGGACTAGGGCAGAGTAAATGGTCCGAACCAAGTGGCTGCTCCACCTTGTGACCTGTCCTGCTCCACCTGAGACTACTCCACCTCTGCGGCAGTGACCTGAAGGACTGTTGGCGATTATTTCTATTATCTCTTTAGAATGGGCAATTTTATTTTTTATTTTTGCTGCTACAGAACACCAGAATTTCTCCTAACTATCCTAACTAATTTCTATCTAACTTTTATAAATGCATGTTGTACGTCCTGCCCTTCAGTTCAACACAACATTCAGTTTCACTAAATAAAAACCAGGGGCCGTATTCCTAAAGATTCTTAGTGATAAAAGTTGCTCCTAGTGGCCAAATTCTAAGATTTTCATAGAATCTTAACCAACTCTTAGAATTTCCCCTAAAAGTGAGGAGCAGATCCCAGTTAAGATAAAAGCTATTCCTAAAGAATCCCAGCTCTTAAGAGAGTTCCTAAGGTGAGATCTCTGAAGAGTTGAGAGGAGGACTTTTAGAGACTTAAAAGTTCCCTAAGAGACAAAATGGTGGACGGTAGAGGCAGGAGAAATATTCTATACTCTGGATGTAGAGGCAGGAGAAATATTCTATACTCTGGATGTAGAGGCAGGAGAAATATTCTATACTCTGGATGTAGAGGCAGGGAGAAATATTCTATACTCTGGATGTAGAGGCAGGAGAAATATTCTATACTCTGGATGTAGAGGCAGGAGAAATATTCTATACTCTGGATGTAGAGGCAGGAGAAATATTCTATACTCTGGATTACAGTGAATCAGTGAAACGCTGCAGATTGAGTCGTGCAGGAATCATGTTTGTGGTATATTTAAATGTCAATCATGTGACCAGCTTCTTATTGGCTGGTCAGTGCTCACAGCTGATCCATTTTACGATTGTTACACAAAAGTAGATAGAAATGGGAAAGTTGAAGAGAAAAAATGACCAGCCTGGTAATTAATAAAAGCAAGTAAATATAACTATTATTGTGTTAATACTGTGCAAGTGGGCCTACATTTTCACACATTCAGTACGAATGAATGAATACTTTATTTCGAGCCACGGCAAACAAGAAAAAAGGACAACAACAGAATAGAAAAAGTACAAATATACAGTTTTGTTTTATTAACAACGATCCAGCTCAAAAGGAGTGAGAAGAAGTTAAGACTGTTAAACTCCCACTCTCTATTTCTCATTCTAAATGAACTTAAATGATGTGGTTGCACAGCTCAGTTTATTCTGTGGTATATTTACAGTTTTGCAACAGTGACATTTATAATAACATGACCTTGACTTTACAGTGTATGTCTAATATGTTTATATTGTTTCCTTAATTCCTTGTATTTGGTTCAGTATCAGTCTTTACTAATCCTAACGTTATCATTATCGTCATTTATCCATATATTTTAGTGCTGTCCAAAATATCGCGTTATTAACGCGTTAACGCAAATCAATAATTTTTTTTTTTTTTACTTTTTATTGCAGACAAACATATACAGAAAAAAAATAGAAACAAAGAAAAGGACTAGTTCAGATACATTGTAGACAGAGATTACAAACAATATGTAGTTGGAGATACATGGGGGCCAAAGAAGAAACCAGAAGGGCATATAGGAGGGGGCATGAAGTGGGAGATGGGGGGAGGGGTTAATAAAAAAGGCAATACAAGCAAACAGTATACAGTCATAGATATACCGAAAGTAAACAGAGAAACAGCATAGAGTATTTACATGAACAAATTTACAAAAGAGTTACAGATTGTTTATCATCATCATGACACCATGATGTTTCTATACAGTCTATGGTCTATACCCACACATACACACACACACCCACACCCATAAACACACACACTCCACACACACACACACATACACCCCACAGATAAGATAAGATATAAAGTCAGCCCGCCTGAGTTTCACCAAGCTAAGCGGAACCCAGCCAACATCAAAACCAAATCCGACACACACACAGACCCCCAAGCAGGCCCCCACCCCAAAAAGGGGGGAGGGAGCCCACGCCCGGCCCATTCCCTCTCTTATTTTGTTCCTTTTTCCCAAGTGTTTTTCTTAACTAAACGTGTCATGCATTAAAATAAGCTTTCGCTTACCCTGACTTGTGTATTATCATTATATGCACATATTATTCATGTTATTATTATATTTATCTACTTATTCATTCATTTTTTATTTTATTTTATTATTATTATTAATTTGATTTTATTATTTTTATTTTATTTTAATTAATTCAAGGGACATAAAGAATAGATACAAATGTGTGACTAATTTGCGATTAATCGCGAGTTAACTATGAAATTCATGCGATTAAATATTTTAATCGTTGGACAGCACTAATATATTTATAATAATAATTTAATATATATATTATATTTATGTGTGTGATAAATTGGTGCTGAGCGAACTCTCATGATGTGGTGTAAAAGTCTAACTTACTGTTCACAATATTAATTTAACATTGATATTTCTGACTTTCTACCTTTCTGACTATTATTCACAATGACACAGTCTTCCTAAGATTAGATTCCATGATTGAGTTTGTCCATTTTAGGGCCCTTACTTTGCCCATTATCATAGAGTTTGGTTAAACTCTACAAGATCAAACAAATATCTAAAGTTATCTGTTATATCTACGTCAGTACCATAACTTAATTGCCATTGAATGCCAAGTGAAAAAAGTGATCCAAAGATGGAGACGTTTGAAAAGTATTGAAATAAAGTTTCAGTCAAAACAACAAATATCAACAGAAAAAGTTGTGAAGACCAAAAGATTACATTTATTAATTAAAGGTGCACTTTATTAATCCCCATTGGGTAATTCAACCCTATGCATTTGACCCATCCTGATGCCGCTAAGGCTGACGTCAGGAGCAGTGGTCACCGTAGTAACAGCGCCCGGGAACCCATCAGATGTTGATGTTTGGCTTGGTCAGGACTACCGGAGCTGGAGGACTTAACCTAGTGAGCATATTTTTAGTGGTAGTGAAAACCAGAGTACTTGGAGGAAACCTACGCAGGCACGGGGAGAACATACAAACTCCACTCAGAAAGACCCTTTTCCGACCGGGATTCAAACCCAGGACCTTCTCGCTGAGAGGCGAGAGTGCTATCCACTCAGCCACCGTGCCGTTAGTTTCATTAAGTGAATGTCCTTGGGTTAGGGTGACTGGGGGTTATTGCAGCACTATGACTGTAAAAACAATTCTCTCTCATTAATAAAGCCGGCAAATGCTGTGCTTGACTTTTTGACGTTTTTGAGTTTATCGCAAAAGCAAAAGCTCTGTGATATGAAGCAGATTCAGACAAAACCATTAAAATGATTGTATAATGAGTATGTATTGTGATTAACTTTGCTATTCAGAATTAACAGTTATACAAACATGCACAGAGCCCGACTAAAAACATACTAATAATGCAAGAAAAATGGTCAGAATCAGATTTCTTTTTGCTGCCATTGTAAGTAACAGGAAGTCACAATCAAGGAGTTTGCTTTGACTCTTTGAACAAACAAGTTATTAAAGTAAGGCATAGATTTTTAAAAATAATTGGGAGGCAACAGGACAAAAAGAGGACACATTTGTGATTCTCAGACAATCATCATTTAGCCAAGAATGTTGGGTCCAAAAGTGCTCCCTAAGCACACACAATGGACAATTATTAAAGATTGTAAAGTTTTGTCCTTTTGCACTTTGAAAACAGACATGGAATCCCTGCACCATCCTGCTATTATCAAGTGCAGGCTTATTTTTTTGTTTTGGACTCAACATTCTTGTCTAATTATGATTCTGTCTAATCACACATAGGCTTAATCTCGAGAAACTAGTTACTAAAGTGTCCTCCGTTTGTCCTGTTGCCCCCCGCAGCTCTAGAGCAGAAATCAATGAGTGAAGCACGTGTGAAAGTCCAATTATAGGGCGCGGAGGCCGTTCTGACTGATGAACCGTTCAATCAGGCGATCGCAGGTGTTCTGATGTAAGCTATCTGTGTCCTCACTCGCTTTGTATTTATTCATCGTTATTTAGACAAGGAGAGCTCAATGAGACGCAATTATTCATGAATCTCTTTCGACAAAAAACGACATGCACACAGACGCGAAACCACAACAAAACAGTTTAAGTTTAGTTTATTGAGAGATTGAACATATACACATACAAACAGTTTAGAATACAGAGAGCTCAAAAGAAGGAGAAGCAAAAATCTTACCTGGGCCCCTCTCCCTTTTAAACCATAAAACCTTGTATCATTTTGCAAAGATTCTTTTTGAGAGGCATAACATCTTAAAACCCTTCTTCTTAAATGGTGAGCTTGTGCCCAGATAACCAGGCAGTCAGGAAGTCTTTTATAACTAATTCAGTATAACGTTTCTCTAGCAGACAGCAAAGGCCAACTAACATCGTCGAAGAAAGTCCGACACGACAGTATCATGAAAACGTTTTTATTCTGGAGGCGCAAAGTGGTCCGCTCAACGTGATCAGAATTCTACCTATGCTTTTCACTTTGTTTGTGGTGCTTTACATACCAAGGCGAATGTAGCTCGCGGCTAATTAGTACGCTACATTTGCTCCCCTATAGCGGCATTAATGGATTTACTGATGGCAGAAAAGTAAGGTACATTTTGTATATGATCAGATAACAGAAGCTTGGATTCAGATATGAAAGACCTTGCTCAAAGTGTCTCATTAAGCAGGTTGTGAATAAGTGTGTGTTGTATATAATGTGTCTCTTTGTGTTTAAGGGTGCATTATAGCTCTATTATTATTTTTCTGTCACGTTGCCTCTGCCCCGAAACAATACCGTACAATGCATTTATTGTAGTGTTATACTGTCAAATGGGAGGGTGGTTAGGGTTAGGGTGGCAATCCAAGCTGCCAGCCAACCTTTATTGCACCGGCTCCTCACTGGTCCTCCCTAATCCTGACCGACGGTAAAGAAGGGTTGCCCCGTCAGCAATGATACAGCCCTGTCCCTGAGCAAGACACTTTCCCAGCAACATAGCGAGCCCCCGTCACCCCTTATTGCACAACAGTAGGCAAATATTGGTGTTGCAGCGCACATACAGGATATGGTGAATATGGAGCACACAAAACAAGAGAAAACGATTGCTTTAAACATTCAAAATATTCTTTTTTTTTAGTTTTTATATGCTCAATCTTTGTTTTATGCAAGTATAAACCTATGAGTATCACTGGAAATGGCAGCAGAGGTTCAGACCAATATTCAAAGCTCTGACTACTACTGTACATGTCTGAGCAGCTTAGGGATACAGACAGAATATATACAAACTGTGAGTCAAGCAAGTTCACTCTGAAATATTAGGTTACGGGAAGAATAGATGTAGTGAATAAATGTCAGTTAACACTTGTAGTACAATGTTTCCCACCAGTGCCTCTCACACTACAAATGAAAAAGCGCCAAAGCAACAGCGTGTGTAAACCAGGCTATTGTCAGACTGACGGGTTTCCTGCTTCCTGCGGCGAAACGCAGGTAGGTACTGTTGTAATTGCTTAGCTTCAAACAATTCTAGACAACACAGTGCTTGGCCAATTTCCCTCCAATTTTCTCTCCTGTTGTTCCATCTCCACATGCACAGGTCCAAGTCTCTGCTTTCTTAGAATCAAGAACGAATCCCCACGAAATGGGGATGAGATAACATCATTTTCTATACGTGTACAGTATGTTTGTGAATGTTCCTTGTTTCATTTATCATACACTGGATGAGGCATGTCCCGTAAGAGGTCAGATATAACTCTGGATTGAATGATTTACGTTTGCCTTGTTGTTGTGACACTTGCGTCAGATGCTGAGACACTTCTGGGCAAAAGTGTGAAAAGTATTCAGTTCAGCCACAGGTTTGGAAAGAGCTCGACCAGTCACCCTAGAGAGGTGTGCTCCATTGTTACACAGATTTTCAATCCCTGCGATTCTTACGGCACATGATTTAAGATTTGAAAAAGCAACAAATGAAAATCTCTATTAATGAGGTAAAAAATCGCTTAAAGGAGCAAAAAGTGAGATTTTCATGTCAAGTCATTATTAAATGGCCCTAATGTTGTCAAAATGAATAAATAAACCATGCTCTTTTTGAATGCTTTTGTAACTAATAACAGTAGTTCAGCTTAGATATTCAAATTTCAAAATTAGTTTTACAGCCCCTAAATCTTGTCATTGTTTTCATTTCGCTGTCCCGCCCTCCACCGTTTTAAAATTTGCATATCTGGCAACCTGAGTCTTGAAATGTTGGAGAGGTTGCAGTACCACTTCTGGCCAGATTTATACAACCTTTAATTCTTTAACATCAACACAATCTTAACAGAACTACTTCATGTTGAATGAATTCCGTTGAAAAGCCAGTGACAATATGTGACTGGAATAGATTTCCACCGCAACCCTGACTTGTCACAGCCTTGACCTGGACCTGACCTGGTGGATAGAAATATTCCCTCTCACTAACAGACATAAAATAGATTTTCAGCCATATGGACTCGAACAAAGATGTGCCATGCTCCACAGTGATGGACAGATGCTTTTTAGGTAATCTGACTTCTGAATATCCATAATAAGTCTTATATCAGCAATATGTGAGCTTTTCATGTAAAGTCATCTTTAAATGGCCTGAATCTGTCAACAGTCGTTCTTCACCGACTCCCACTGATGTCTGCTGTTGTTGTGTCCTTGGCAAGACGTTTAACCTGTGGGAACACCACAATGGGGCAGCTGCGGCTGTAAAGTGCCAAACTGCTGTTGTGTCCTTAGGCAAGACACTTCACCCTCATTGCCTAGAATGAGTCTGGTGTGTGTGTGTGAATGGTTGGTGGTTGCCTCGATTCTGTCAAGTGTGCCCACTACTGTGGCCCAGTGTGGCTACAGTAGTAGTGTATCACCACCGTGTTTGGAGTGTATGAATAATGACATGTAAAGCGTCTTTGAGTGACAAAAAAGAGCTATATAAAACCAGTGCATTTTTATGTTTTGTTTTACAGCCCCAAAATCTTGTTATTGTTTTCATATCGATGTCCCGCCCTCCACTGTTTTACCAAAAAGAAAGTTTGTGATTCGAGTTGCCAGAAGGCACCACGTCGAGCTAATCTCACTGGTAAAGTAACATGTGACCGCAGCACTAAAAAGGATTCGTTATGATTCTCAAATCATTAATAACAAAACAAGAAATAAAATGAGGACTTATATCAGTGTTAAAGATTCTTTGTTGACAAAACTATTGCATATTCAGCTATTATGGTCCCAGCTGGATTCGTCTGCATATTTGGCTACCTGAGTAAGGGAGAGTGCTTTTTGGTACTTTTGGCCAGATTTTTACATTTTATTGCTCCTTTTAATATCAAAATTAATTAAATGAAAAATCATCTCAATGACTGAAGTTGCCATATGGGGATGTTAACTTAAAATATACAGAGAATATACAGATAATTCATGTTTGTCTGAAAGACAACACGATTTATGAGCAGAGACAGATTGTTGAATAACCGTATTCCAATGGGGCAGTTTGAACTACGCCTTATGTTATGATCTGGGGAGTCCTGCAGCGGTTGCCATGGCTTCAACTGCCTTATGCAAAAATGTTATTGTTTAAACTAATAAGCAAATCAAAGCATCCTGGTGACAAACTACTCTCTGCTTGCAAGACCAGAAATTATTTCATGAATATCAGCAGATTTTCTGGGATCTGGCTACTGTATCTCTGCAAAGACCAGGTAAGAAAATCCTCCACATACATTTATTACTAACTAGTTAATATAGGTTGTGCTTTGGGTAGCTTACTGTAATCATGCTAACTGCAGTGTTGTGTATGATTGACATTATGCAAGTTAAGTTCAAACATAAGAGAGGATAGAGAAGTGTAGTCACATTATAAATTAAGAAACATAGAACCAAGGAGATGTGCAGTGCTGTGCTCATCTTGAACAACCTCATATAGCTCATGATACCACAATATAAATTATTTTCATTTAAAAAAAACCAACAAATCAACCTTAAACCAATGTAGTTTTTTTTTATAACCCATTTAACTACATTTATTCAGCATGAGTATTTTCCTGTTGGGACTCAGCAGTTACTTGGGTTATCTTCAGGGCTCTTGTATGTTTTCCCCATCAAACAAAGCAACATATGTTTCTAAAGTCTGGTACTCACACACCACTGTCAACCTAATTGGTGCAGGTTTGATGATGCCGTATCCTTCGGGTGTCTACGAGCCAGCGCTGGTCCTGCCCCTCAGCAAACCAGAGGACCACATTTTTTCCATCTGCAAGAGTCTGCTGCAGATCCCACAACAGTAAGTCCTGTCGCTATGTTATGTAGCTACTTGTCTTGTGCACACTAGGGACTTTTGCAAATGTATTCCAATTTGGTTTTTACTGCAAATGGCAAATAAATGAATCTCCCTCTCTAACTGAAAAATAAAAACATATAGATATTGTCAATGAAATAAATTCTTTATACAAGAATTTCTATGGCAAATCTACAAAAACATAACGCATGGAGAAAATGTAATGACTAAGATTCTATCAACAAAATTCAGACTATAATTGGAATGACTTCATCAGACCGCTAATAGTACATAGTGTCTCTTTAATTAATCAAAGAAAACCTTACATTTTTGTAGAGTATATGACTTGTCTCCAGTGTAAAAAGCGTGTAGTAAAAGTGTGGTGTATTATCGGTTATTAATGCTGTACTGGACAAATGGTACAAACAAAGCAAATATCTCCATACAATTTGCAAGCATGTTATTTTGGAAATTAGTAGTGGCACAATGTAAATCACAAAGTAGAAATTGTGTAATTTAGTGAAATACTTTTAATCACATTCCAGATAGATGTTGTTGATCGAATTTGTTTGGTTGTTACTGTCTGCATTGGATAAATATATACTGCCAATGTATTTGTTTTTCAGGTACTGGGTGAAAATCAAAGATGGTTTCATTGACTCTACGACCTTGGCATACATATCCGAATTTATCATGGATTTGATTCAACATGTGTCTCAGTCCATCCTCACAATCATCCTGCCTCAGCTCTACAAACGCATGACATCCAGAGGCTTAACCCCCTGCTGCGTGATGCTTACTGAAGACCAGGTTGCTAACTACATGGGCGACTCGGTTCGACGAGCTCTGGCCATGTCCTTCCACGAACAGACTGTGGGATTCACTGAAAATTTCAAGAATTTTCTCATCAGTAACATTACATCAACGGTTAACGACGTCCTGGTTTTGGGCATTCAGACTACAGTCCGCCAAGATGTCCTCCCTGTGTTCTTTGTCGCTGGGTCAGCCTGCTCCGTGTTTGACCTCAGCCAGTTTGCCCAAGAGGGATTTGAGATCCTCAAGTCTGGAAGTGGTGCCCCATTTGAAATGAAGCATAACTTTGCATGGACATTTTTGAGTGACAGTCACGCTGAAGACTTCCTCTTTTCATACTTCTTCAGAGTTATCAATACTTTACGTGTCAGTTCCAATGTTCCTCATCGCAATGGCTTTGGTTGTCATAGGGACACCTATCTTATAGTTGGCTCAAATGCAGAAATAGTGACAGTTGACTGTGAATCTGGTGAACCTTGTGAACCCAGTCCTGAGAGCGGAACTAGTTCAGACGATGATCAACAGATTTGGCCGTTTAGTTCAGAAAAAGAAGCACATCGCAGTAACTTTAAAGCCCTCAGTAATGCAGAAGTGGAAACTATTAAACAGGCTGCTAAAGATCTTGTGCAGCAGTTATGGACAACAGACGAAGAAGTATTAAAAAGGATTATTGATGGTCGAATGGACATGCGTCATCTCAGAAATGTTATGACCAGGTTTACACACAACCTTTTTCCCATAGTTATAGACCAAGTTAGCGGCCAAGTTCCGTGTCCACCAGACGGGCAGATATTGGGTGGTATTGTCACCTTTAGAAGTATAAATTCCAATGATCCAGGACTCATTCCTCACTGTTTGTACTTGAAGACGGAAGAGATGATCAACCGGGCAGTGAAGCAAGTTCTGCAATGGGTGTGGTGGTGCGATGGCAATCCACCTAATTGTGATCCTTTAAACCAGATCCCTGAATCTCCAGAGTTTGACATGGTCCTGGGGGGAGGAGACCAGCACCTATCTTCAGATGAGGAAGAGGATGAAGTACGTGGTGATGAAGAGGAGGTAGAGCAACAACAACCGCAGCAGCCGCCAACACCACCACCACCAACTCGAAGACAACCAATGGGGTCAATTCTTTTGAACCATCTCACCAAATCTTCCTTCTTGGCTCTCATAGTGGGAGAGGTTCTCACGCTCATAGGGATAAGAGACTGGGGGAAAATACAGCTGATGCTGAGAAACTTAATTACGGGGGTGAATATCCCTGACCTGATACAAGAACCATTCGATGCTGTGGTCGGTGGGAGGAGTTTCAGAGACATTTGTCAAGGAGCTATCAGGGACCTGCTGGACGTGTACGGCTCAGTCTTTGCACTGCATCAAGCCGTCAATGAACACGAGCCTTCGTTCGAGCTGAATCTTATGGAAGTGATACAGAATCGACTCAGTTTGCCGCCCATTAACATTGAGGGTAAGATATGTATATTGGCAAATGTAAAAAAAAAGATCTATATCTATCTTCAAGGATTTTTCTGACCAAGACCCATAAATGCAATAGCATGCATTATTTAGGTTTGGCGTCATACAACGTGCATTTAGTGTCCCACAAGGTGTATTGTCTGTGCTGAAATTGGTGCGCAGAAGGGACGTGATCAGTGGTACACCACGTGATCTCTGAGTTCATGTTTAAGTTATTCCTGGATTCAAAGCTGTAAAAATGTAAAATCTATATATTTGTTTCATTTTTTATTTAAAAAAATAAAAAACACATTGTAGTGTAAACAGTTGGGTGAAATCAAAAGATGAAAGCCTCTTGAATAAGCGAACATTAAGAAGGCAGCTGTTTTTTGTTACAGTTGTATTTTTGCATTGTTTACAATCTAGGTGTCACAAATTCTTAAAATTAAGATGGGGACAGAGAAGTGTTGTAGAAATGGTTGAACCATTTCTACAACACTTCTCTGTCCCCATTTTGCGTGATGTCATCATTTAACTGCCCCATATTGAATTATCTGTTTTTCTTTCTTCAACAGCCTCTGAAATTCAATCACCTGCAGTTAATGAATCTGCAGTGTGTAAACCTCAGTCCAGACAAGAAAACACAGAACCAGAGTGCCAGGACCAACCCAGACCAGAGCTTATACAACCAGAATGCCAGGACCAACCCAGACCAGAGTTTAGACAACCATTGGGTAAGGTCCAACCCAGACCAGACCTCATGCAACCAGTGGGTAAGGTCCAACCCAGACCAGAACTCATGGAACCCGAAAGTAAGGTCCAACCCAGACCAGAACTCATTCAACCAGTGGGTAGGGACCAAACCAGACCAGAACTCGTGCAACCAGTGGGTAAGGACAGACCCAGAACAGAACTCATGGAACCCGAAATTAAGGTCCAACCCAGACCAGAACTCAGGCAACCAGTGGGTAAGGTCCAGCCCAGACCAGAGCTTAGACAGCACGTGGGTAAGGACAAACCCAGACCAGAGCTCATGCAACCAGTGGGTAAGGATCCGCTTGGACCAGTGATAGCACAGACTTTCTCTGAGGACCGGCCTGCACAAGCATCGGTACCCACAGCCTCAGTACCAGGTCTCGCAGAGGTCTTTGTCCGGGGCAGTTGGTGGAGGAGATTTGCGTTGAGCCTAAGGAGAGTGTGCTGCCACACCTCATCATCCTCTCCATGACCGTCTACGTCTGGACACAACCGACGTACCGACTTTAGCCGAGTTTAACGTTCATCTGATAGGAGCTTCCAGTGCAGTTCTATTTCAAGCACTGTTTTTCTGAATAAAACATGTTAAAAAAAGTAGCATGTGTTTTTGTTGCCGATGCAAACCAAATGTAAGCTTCCATGACATGCGTTTATATTAGATGCTGCTTTATGTGTCTGCCAAAACCCACATGGAACTGCATAAGCTGGGATTTGATTTGACACTTTCCAAAATCAGACTGAATGCCCAATTATAGGCTTTAGAGTTTTAGTTTGATTGTTAGTCTATGGTTGCAGCTCTAGCAGTACCTTGTACCAAAATTAAAAATGCCATATTTGACAAAAAAAGAAAAATATGTAATACATGATGAGAGCAGTTTTTTCCACAAAATAATAAGAGAACAAACAGTAAAGCATAGACAGTGTTGGCGAGAAAGGAAATACATGTAAAATCATAGGAATACATACTTTCATATAACGTCTCCAAGGTAAAAAAACAAAACGGCAACAACAACAAAAACGTTGCGTCCACACATTACACTTCCAATAAGTCCAGGCAAACGTTAGCGAGCGCACGGAGGAGACTGTGGTTTAAAAACATGGAGTCAGACTTGAAATCAGAGGCCGCATCATCAGTGAACGAGACACGGACACGGACACAACACAAGTCGCCAATTCATTTATATTGTGGACGTTTAATCACTTTTTCATCCTGTTTTCTTTTTAGTGCTATTGTAAAAAAAGAAATAGCGCCCTCAGCAACCGCTAAACAAGCCAGTTTAACGTAGCTTTCTACTGTGTGTGTGTGTGCACGCGACTGAACGTGTGTGTGGGTGTGTGCGCGAATGAATGTGTGTTTGCGCAAGGTTATATTTCTAGAGGGATTTGTTTATGAGGAAAGTTATAGAAGGCATTGAACCAATGAATGTCTCTGAGTATTCGGAATTACAGTGCCTTGCGAAAGTATTCAGCCCCCTTCAACCTGTCAACATTTCGCCACATTTCAGGCTTCAGACATAAAGATATAAAATTTATTTTTTTTGTCATGAATCAACAAGTGGGACACAATCGTGAAGTGGAACGAAATTTATTGGATAATTGGATTTTTTAACAAATAAAAAACTGAAAAGTGGGGCGTGCAATATTATTCGGCCCCTTTACTTTCAGTGCAGCAAACTCACTCCAGAAGTTCAGTGAGGATCTTTGAATGATCCAATGTTGTCCTAAATGACTGATGATGATAAATAGAATGCACCTGTGTGTAATCAAGTCTCCGTATAAATGCACCTGCTCTTTGATAGTCTCAGGGTTCTGTTTCGCAAGGCACTGTAAATTACTATTCTTTTCCAAAGTACAGAATGTCATGTCATTTTCTACCCTTGTATTATTCCATTTCGCTGCTCCTCCTTCAGGTGGTGAGTCCACGGGATGATGGCTTCTCCGTGATCGAAGACATGGCCAGCGGGGGCTTCAGGCGATGTGGAGTTAAGTGTCTTGCCCAGGGACACAACGATAGTAGACATCAGTGGGAGTCGTGAAGTAGGTCTTACGGTGGGCTCGAACCCATTAAGTCCAAAGACGAGTGCTCTACCAACTGAGCTAAAGTAACAGAATACTTTACAAAACACATTTTAGGTTGTGAATTCAATATTTTGTAACGGAAAACATTTTCAAAGTATTCTACCCAACACTGAGCATGGGTAAGCTACCCCCTATGAGCGCCAAATTTAAAAAGCAAAATTTTTTATTTTGGAAATGTGATACTGTGCATATTTGATGCTGAAATAGTATCTTTATATATAGTTATGTCAGACTAAATCAGACTTGCATAGAAAAGTTGTCACATGCCAAAGAAAACATTAGGTTACATCTGTCTGTACCCTCAGTGAAAGACAGACTCCCTCTAATGCTAACATTTTTTGACACATATCAACTCACTGCACAGTTCAAACACAATTCCATTTCAAACCCAGTTCCAAGTTAATACAACGGAAACGAAAGTGACAAACTCTTCACCCATATTTCAATTCCTTAGAGCAGCCATTCCCAAACTCAGTAACACCGAGGCCCCCTTAAAAATCTGACGGGTCTGCGTGGCCCCCCAAAATAATAACCAAGAAGACAACATTAAGAATAGGCTCTTCTGGTTATTTTATTTTGGGGAAATAGCCTCTGCTACAAACATTGTAATACAAAAATGATTACAGTGGATTATTCAAGTCAAATAATGAACACAAATATTTTAATATTACAAACAAAACATTATAAATTTAACATTAGATAATTATATTATTTTTTAATTTTTTTTATGACCTCCCGCGGCCCCCCTACAGTACCCTCGCGGTCCACCAGGGGGCCGCGGACCCCACTTTGGGAGACACTGCCTTAGAGCACTATTTCTCCCGGGACACATCTGTGGATGGTGGGCGTGAGACTGAAGACTTCACGTTGTGTCAAGCCAATGTCATAATTTCTTTCCAGACCATTTTTATATCCACAGCCCATACTCAATTTCAAGTCAATTTTCTTCCCGCTGTCAAGTGCAGCATCCGCGCTTCATGCAAACAGTTAGGCAGCAGATGATGGGTGCTTACAGTAAGTCAATAGGGTATTGATCTGATGACATAAACTAACCAGTGCTTGGCTGCTGTCACTGCTGGTGGTTATCTCTCTCCATCATGTCACCAACCCTCTCTGCCGCATGTCATTTCAGTCTGCTGTGATGGGTCGAAGATGAAACCAAAACCCCATCTAGATAAGAAATGCCATGCAATATTTTTTTCTTTCAAAATCATAATGGGTTTGTTTTACTTTGACATTTTGTGTTGTGAATGTGAAATTTTATCTTAAACACAAGGTGAAAGAAGTATAGAGGATGATAAATGCTTTCCTCCCATTTCCTATCATCAGAGGGAGTAAAAAAAAACTAATTTAAAAACTAGACTTTAACTATTCATCTTATTTATGCTTTTAGAAAGAAAGGACAGAGTTTCATGTTTGTGCAAGAGGCCCCTGGTCTCAGATTGTTTGCTACATATATGGATTTGCTATATATCTGTTCTCTATGCTTAGTGTACATATTTGCTTTACTGATAAATATGTCACATTAAGCCATTAACAGTGCATTCCTCAACTGCACCAGTGGTTAGGACCCACATTTCAGAAAAAGCTCCAATACCTGTGTCTTGCTTTAGATATATAATTTCTTTGAGATCTAAAGATAACTAAACATGGGGAGGCTGCTTTTCAGATTCATGCTGCTAAAATCTGGAACAGTCTTCCTGAAGATGTGAGACAGGCCTCCTCTCTGACGATGTTTAAAACCAGGTTAAAAACCGTTCTGTTTAGCTGTGCATACAACTGAGGGATTTTATATTTTCATCTTTCTTTTGAATGTACTGTGATTATTTATGATTTTAATGCTTTCTTATTTTGTTCAGCACTTTGAGTTGCCTTGTGTATGAATTGTGCTATACAAATAAATTGCCTTGCCTTGCCTTGAGATGTGGCTCCGTTTTGGACGAACCAGCTTTTCCTTTAAGGGTGTTAAATCTATCCGCATGGGACTAAAACTACACACTAACATGACCATCTTCAGCAGAGAGCTAAGAGTTAAGATCCAGACAGAGTTATTCTCACGTGTACATTGCATTGTAAGTTTTGTATTCATGGCTCACTCCACACTATACTGTATCAATGTGTTACGTTTTGGTCAATGACACAAAAAGTCCCGAAATGTCCGCAGCCGTTACCGCTGAATGTTCGCAGACCCACTGTTGTATTGTCTCCAGCTTGTTTGTCCAGTCGAGGGGGCACTACTTAAACACATATTCATTCACGCCTGTATTATTAACAGCGCTTTAAGACAGCTGTTTTGGACGTAACAAAAGTGCGCACAATTGGTACGTACAAAAAGCCTAGATTGTCTGCAGTTATTCAATAAATTTATTTTGTTGAATAATGTAAAATCTGTAATTACACTTACATTATAGTTATGTCTCCAACCATTAAACATTAAATAGTCTTCTCTGTCATGTTAATTATTCCATTCACAAGGCCTCCAACACGACACGTCCTAAATGTAACAATTATGTCCCCAAAGTTCAATAAATTATTTTTGAACAGCATCCATTATTCTTGAAATAGTTTTAGCTGCATATCTGGGATTATACTATGTGTATACAGTATATAGGCAACATAGTATTAATTTTTTTTTAGGTACAAGCATTTTTAGTTCATACATTTATTTTATTGTCGCTTGAAGTTAGATCGAGCAATGGTACAGGTTAGCGTGTAGTGAGCCATCTGTAAAAAGCCCCCTGTGGACTAGTGTTGAACCTGTAACACTTTCAACAATGCATCTGGTTCATCCAAAGTTATTGTCATGTCCATATTCGATAAATAGGTGAAATAAATACATAAAACAAGTGACATTCCTCAGTCACGGATGATTGTATTCCACAATAGAGCAAGGGATGTCTTGATTTGAGGGAGGAGATACTTATGATACAGAAGAGAACTGTGTTTGGGCCTGATTCTTGCTCTATGAAGAAAAGTGTTGTCTGCAAACGGGTGGCTTAAATTGTGTATATTGGTTTCTGGCCACACAGATAAACTCTCCTTGAGTGAATTCTGTGGTTTTCCCCCAAGCTCTTTGTGAATTTCAAAACAAGACAGTCTGTGTGTGTTTTACAGAGGAAAGCCCTACTTGGAACTTCTTTACAGTCAGCGTGATACTAAGAATAGTTTCAGATGGATGCAGTCTAGAGACGTATTCATTATTTCAAGTCATGAAAGGCAAACATTAGAAGAGTCGTCTTTTTCCAAATAACCTCTAAGTCATATCTGTGCATGCATGGAAGTGATATTCACAAATCAACACTTTGACGCTAAAAGATGCTTGAAATAACTTTTCACATATTATTTATTTTACACTTTACTTTGATGAACTTGCAACGTGGAAGTGTGGACCTTCATATTTTTTGTATGAACTAATAGCAGTATTTGATCTA